TCCTTCATCAATTCAAGATATAGGCCTACTACTACCACCACACTACCAATCATATATAAAATAAATAATAATAATTAAAACATTCTTTTTTGAATAACGAAAATATTAATAATATTCACGTCTCGCGCAATTTGCAGGATTTGAGATGGCAGGTCAGAGTAGCATGGGCTAAATGCTCGGCAAGTGTGACCATGGACAAGAGTACATCCTTGACCATGTACAAGCAACCCATCCCCAATGGCACTCAGGCCCTAGGAGGATTCACTACCCGTGGGTGGCATCTAACACACAATTATCTTAAGCCTAGGAATCGCCACTTGTGGTAAGTGTGGGAATTGTATTACTCTCTTTATTGTATTAACATTGGTATTCCGTATCAATGTCACATTTTCCTGGGTAAACGTTATTTAGGCCTACAAGGCAAATAAACAAACAAAGTCCGTTTACTTTAAGAAAAATAATTTGGCGAATTACGAAGTTCTCGTCATCTCTGTTCCCATGACCATGGACTGGTTTAGTCTCAAGTTTTCGTTCAATATAAAATAAAGAATACTTTTTTGGGACCATACGCCTATTGAAACATAGGAGAGCAAGCAACAGGTGTCCACGTGCCTGTTCAATAATATAGTTAATTGGATTATTAATCAAGCAGCTCAATGCCATTATGAAAAATCGCCTCGCGATCGAAAAAAGTCACTAAATTTAAAAGCGTGTTTACTTTGAATACCATTATTATCATAATATCAAAAACTTTAAAACTATGGACAATGAGCTAAAATTTTGTTTTTTTTTTATTTGTAATGATTCTTTTAATTAGAGGCACATGGGAAATTTCAAAATATATTGTTTGATTGTTTTTCTTTTAAGAAATAATGAAGCTTTTCAATTTCATTTTTCTTATTATCAGTCAAATTTATACTTGTCGATTTTTTCTTGAAATAAGAATTTATCAAGAATATTTTCTAGACCAGATTTTAAAATGTTGCTGTTTGTGTATACCATACACTCAACATAGGCCTATATTTGTTATTTTCCTCGTGAAAAAGATCGTTAAGTTGGTTGTTCCGTGTTGGGACCCGGCCCATTCTGACCTCCTTTTCACACAAAATACCATCAATCAATTGTTATAACATTAGGCATAGCATTATGTCGCGCCCCAATCAGTTACAATCAGGAGATAAACGGGTGGCTTCACACCAATTTTCGGATGCCAAACAGACACACCTAACCACATACAGTACCAAAAGTATGCCAAAACTCTCGCTTCCAACCATGAAATACGGACCCAGCCCCATGCAGTCGAATTCATTACCCGGAACGCAACATATTTTATGTCTCATTAATTGGTACATTGAAACGTGTAAAAATCTATACAAAATTGTATAAACAATTATTCACTTGGTGGGTTTATTTCCCCTTGTTATTTGTTTCCAGTCAATTTAATGTACGGTACGTATACATTGATCGCTGTGCCAAACAATGTGGGTTATGTGCAACGAAATAGTTCGTGCCTCATTTATACTCAGTTAGGGTCTATACCGCGGAGGTATGATCACACCTACACATCTATTTAGGCCTCAGGATAAACAGGGAAAATAAATACAATATTTTTATAAAGACCACAGGCCTAGACTGCCGAGGCCTATAATAAGAATGACACAAAGTCATTACTGTCTTGACGAATATGAAAAACGCAACCCTCAAACGTGCAAACGTTCAATTTAACTAAATTAATTACAAAACTTATCAGAGAATTCCAATTATGGAACAAACAAATTCAGCCAACCAGCAAACAAGCAATCAATCAATCAATCAATCAATAAATCAATTAATCAATCAACTAACTAACCAAACAACCATTGCAAGTAGTTCTTATTGTAAAATTTCTATAGAATGGCCAATTAGGCACTGTAATGTTTGCATTACCAGATACAGTAAATCTTGTCCGAGCAACTCCACAGGGCTGGAGCTCACCCCCACTTTCAAGTAGCTTGAAGCGATGATACTAGTCATTTTGCTCTCAGCATTTTGCTGGTATCCATTGATACAGCTGGGTAAACCGAAACAATGTAGATAAAGTGCCTTACTTACAAGCGAAATGCACAGCGAAGGATTGAAACCCCGACCCCGAGGTTGGAAATGCAAACAGATTCCAATGCGCCAATTACCACCTCCAACGTAATTACAGGCCATGAATCTGGTACAGTAGCTGTGATGGGATATCGCCATCATAATCGTGGAGATTGTCTTTAAAAAAAAAGGGTATGAAAAACATTACGAAAACGTTTTACAGTAACTTTTATGGAAATATCGATGGATTATGCAAAGGTTTGAAATTGCGTCAGAGATCTTGCTTGTGTGGTTTAAAAGTGGTTCACAATTTACATTTCGCTTTACATCATACTTTTTTCCCTCATTAGCCTATTAATATTATCGTCAAAAACTACAAGAATGACGTCATTCTGACTGACATAGTCTAAATGAATTTGATGTGTTTTCTTATTCATAAAGAAATGTTTATTTGTAATCCAGACTGATTCGTCATGTGTTTTTCCGTGAAAACTTGTCTCCTGGTGAGATATTCGGCTCCCATCATGCTGAGCATGCTACATTCTTAAAGGTTGATGTGAGATGCAATTGACTGTTGCCAAGACAACAACATGCAGGACCGACATCTTTAAAGGTACGCGACGTTACGCATCAAACATCGACCCTTGGAGTATCTATGTAAAAACATAACCTGAGGGAATCTGATTTTTTTCTGTAGTGTTATTGAATAAAATGTGGCCTATACGAGATGGTGTTATAAACTGGAATTACATGATGGCCCTGTGCAGAAGGATTCTGTTGTAACCGGTAAATAAAAGGGTAAAGCTAGGCACTTTTCCGCCCGACGGTCGTCGGAGAACGCAAATTGACGACGCGTGCGCAACAGATCGTGTTTAATGACGATCAAGCCCAGACTGTCATCGAAAATCAACAGACGGCGTCGGGCCGTCTATCGAGCGGAGTTTTGATGGAAATATTTTTAAACTTTATAATTTTTGGGATTATGGATCTTGGGACTAAACGAACGTTATTGACAAAAAAGCTCAGTTCCAATCTACATACGTCTTTTATTTCTGTTATTCAACGATTACTCTTGTGTTTATATGTATATATCGGTTGATTTATGAACTATAATTGCGCCATGGAGTATAGAAAGCGGATATTGCGTATTATGCAGGTACACATGTGGCCTAGATACCGACCTTCCCATCACTCCCGGAGGAATTATTGATACTGGTGGGAGCGCGCCTATTTATAACAGCACGCAGACGAAATTTACGGAATGGAGAATTCGATTGTAGCAGCCGAAGCATGGTCGTCTGGTATTACTGTTAACACCTGATTACAAGTATCGTCACCCGTCACTAACTTTTTCTTTAAACTGTCCGCTTAAACAGCGCCCTCATCAGGTATATTACAGTCACGGCTGACATAACTTTTATAGTACTGTCACCGACCCTAAGGTATCAACATTAGAACTCACGTTCTGAGACAACTTTTTCAGATTCTGTATAATAAATTGATTAGGGAAGATAGACCTACACCAAGAATAACCATATCTGCTTTTCAATTCAATTAATCAAATCAATCAATATGGTAAAAAGCCTTATGGATAAGCAGTCACATGAAGCGTAATACAAGATATAAACCATGCAGCGGGGAGGGGGGTTTGGGCCTACATTCCTGATATTGTTTGCCTTTCGAAAAAAAAAACAATGGATTTTATGTTCAACTTCAGTCGTTTTTAGTGATAGTAATCAACTTTTATTCGTATCTATTAGGCTTACAGATTTCTAAATAAAATAGGCCTACTCATATGCCATTCAATGGGGGTGGCATTAAATTTATAATTAGCTCTTCGTACAGTATACGGTATGTCTATCAACAAATGCAGGTGACAGGCCAGAGGGGAGGGACTGAGGTGGTAGCACTCTATAGTCTACCTTCGAAGACCCCTCCAGTTATAGACCACCTCCTATTAATGCCCAAGATGAACTACTATCTTTTCTCCTCAACAAAAACTATTTCAAAGCCTATAAAAAACCCCGGTCCCGAAAGTTGTATTTACAGGGTTCAAAACTCTTGATTTCGCACGTTATTGACGGACTTTCGTATTCCAGAGAAATACTTAACGATTATCAGTTTTTGTCAAACTGTCGGTTTGAATTTAATCCCACCAGCTAAAAGATATACAACTAGCGTTAAGTAATTGCACTTTTTCCCACGAGACTCATCAGTTTTGGACACCAGATGGAAACTCAAGTTCGAAAAGTGCATTTTACCAAACCTCTCTCAGCGTCGACATACCAAAGTAAACACTGATGGGATAATGGTATCGGAACACCATTTTTAGAATAAAGAAAAGACAGTGATCAGAGTCTCGAATCACGTTTCGCCGAAAAGCGACTGGTATTCGCCTACGGGCCGATGTGTCTCACATCTTTCTAGGTTCTTCTTAAGGGCTGTCGCCGTCCGTAGGCCTATAAATAATACTATACGTAATATTAAATCCGGAGACTACCGTACAAAGACACCGAATTCGCTTACCCAAATGTTTAGAATTTCAGACTGATAGGTCTTTGGTATAGGTTTCATGATAAGCTATACCCGTTATTATTATCTTTGAAATTGCTGTTTACATAGCCTAAATTAGGTTGTTTTCAAAATCTTTTTATAATAGGCCCTACTAGTAATAATAACGACAAAAATACCTATAACAAAAATAATAATAAAGAGATGTATTATTATTATTTTCTGTTGTTTTTGTTAGTGCTGATGTTGCTGTTATATTTATCATATTATTATCGTTATCCTTTCATCATCATTATTATTATTTTATTTTAATCTTTTGAACACTGAATCTTAGTTTGCACGGTGAATTCATGGAACAAACCTATATGGTACAGTAACTTGACTGTTCAAGCTTATTTATTAATGGATCTAAAATCGCCATCAACATCGTCACCTCTTCACCGGAAATCACTTTCATCCTCGGTGAACTCAAGTGGGTAACTAATCTAAACTTTATCATCGTTTAACGAAGCGTGGCTTAGCTCATTAACAGGCAACACAATCGTCTATTTCCAGATAGGTGATGATTCAGAACGGACGCGGGAAATATGAGAGATCGTCTGATTTGCTTTGAAGTCTACGAAATCGTACACACTTCACTTACGAATCTACACTGCCCTTGATTAACTATCCTTGTCAAGAAGCAGACAGAAGGCCATAATTAGTAGAACCTAGGCATAAGTGTTCCAGGAAACCGTGCAGAGATGTAAATGATAAACATCAGCAATTATAACATTACACAATCTGGAAAACATTCAAATATACGCAAGCGTCGATATATAAAGTTCATATTTCTGGAAGCGCATAACAGCAAATCATTAAATCATCTTAAGACGAACGTGGCACATAAAACCGCGCGATGCTGGTCACAAATAAGTGGTTTAGCAAAACCCACTCGCAACCTTTCAACAGTACAGGTATATTGATCTTGAGAACTATTCGATTGATAATGGCCTGTGAGGGCGGTATTGTGAATTACTAGTGTTTGGCAGCGTGCCTGATTGGTGGTAACCTTGACAAAATTGTGTAGTGCTATAAAAACTTTCGGCAATGTAAGCGCTGATGATTATCGCGAGTTGCGCTCTACAGGTCGCATGTGTTCATCTTTTCTCTCACTTCGAAGGACTGTATTGTCTATTGTCGCTTCAACACTGATTTTATCAAAGCACGTTGTAATAACTGGAATATTGCATAAACTGGTACGTTACACTTTTCTTCATCATTTAACTTGTTGAAGTTATGAAAGTTATTACGATTGGTTGTATACAGGCCTATAATTAGAATTTAAGCTTTATGTTTTACAAGATTAAAAAATAACTTTTAATTAGCTTTAACCTAAAGTTATCTAGAGGCCTATTTACAATCCTCTTTATCGTTAATGCTCTTCTATATTAGACTAATTATTTATATATTTTATTGAATGCTTAAATAAATATATAAATAATATACTATATATAATTATTAAACAATTTATATTCGGTATATATAGGCTTATATATATATATGTATATATAATATATATATATATATATATATATATATATTATTATTATACAAGAATATTATATGAATGAGTCAGTGTGAAGTAAGACACGTACTGGTATGTTGATGGTGTTTCATGATGACGTAATATAGGAACGTAGCACCGGGACTCTGAGACGCACTGAATCAATGTTGACGGTTATATTGTAAATACTTACGAAATAGAATAACAATTTCACTGCGCATAACTTATGATAGATGACAAACACCTGTCATATATACCGTGTGTTTGACAACTGGGCAATTTCATGGACGCTAGTAACGATACGTCAACACTATCACGCTTGGTATTGTGGCTTCATGTGTGACACTAATTCACTTGCTATGCGATTCCATGTCGATCCGATGTAACGATAATGTGCTCGCGTGCGTAACATGTGCATGAATGAGTTCATAGGCTGCACAGCCTACGCGTTTCAACATGTTTATAATCACCGAATATGAGATACATCACGACAAGCGCATTGTTGTAGGTCTACACCCATAGGCTAGACACAACATACCGAGGAATATCCTTTGCGCATACATACGGTGCCTAAATTGTGACTTTTGAAGATTTTTACTAAAAGTTCATTATTTTTGTTGTCGTTTCTCCTTTCTATTTTTCTTAAATTGATATTCAAGATGGGGATTTCGGTACAGCAAAACTTACCCTACTCAGTTGTTTCGCAGAAGACAAGCACATATATTAAAACAGCCCTTACTATTCCTCATCGCGTAAACAAATAAAAGTGACAATCTCTACTATTTTCTATAGAATTCGATATTTGGAGCCGGATCACCTCTCCCCATCAATATGTATTTATCCTCAACTCATGAGGACAAAATTCGTGGGGGGTGGGTGGGGTGAAATTTTGTGCCTGTAGCATGCACTCATTGTTATCGATTCTTAATGACTGACTACATCCTCCCGGTAGTGTTATCGACAAGGTAGTAACATATAATGTCTACAACTAATGGTGCCACTACTGTGTATCCGACTTCCATAGTATTCCATTGGCTTACTATTCAATGTACAGCACCTCCCAGGTGTTAAGAAAAGGCGATATGTGCCTGCGTACCTACCTCATGGCGTTACCAACGCGTTGCTGCTCTCATTGTCCGAGAGTGTTTGGTAGAGTTTGTTAAAATATTGAAAGGCCACGGGTTAGGTCATCAATGTGAACGCCGGTAAAGTTTACATAAACCAGAGCATTGCATTAACGTAATAGCAGAAATTTGCTGCTGATTGAAAGTAAAATAAGTCGGTTCTTTGTCGCAGAATGTTACAGTCGTACATACGCATGTCGTCAACAGTCGCCGGCCGGTGGGAATCGCTTCGGCAGCGGTCTCCTCCTCCACCCTTCTCAATATTTTGTACTCGAATCATTGGATGTTGAGAGTACCATTGAATATACGGTACCATGACCTTTGACATATTAGATACTTAATTACGATGACGTAAAATAACGTTGATTAAGACGATTTAAAGTATTAGCGCACAAAATAACGACACGCTTTATAAAGGTCAAAATGATTTGTGACGGTCCCTAGGATCATGATTTTTCGTTGCGAAATTTATGAATCTAACGCTCCAACAATAATTTCCAAATTCTTTACTGTGCTCCTGGAAAAAAAAAAGTGTAACAATATTTATGCTGATTATTAAAACATGCTAATAAATACCAATGTCAATGTAAATATTTGTTATTTTGCTTCCGTTAGTCAATTCATCTATCACGATGTGAAAAGTATTAAAATGACGTCAATTAAGTCTATTGCGTAATCGTCGTGTTAAGACAATTTTCTGTAAAGTAATGCGGTGATTTAAAGCCACATACATCCGTTGTACTATAGCCTACAATTTTCTTGAGATTCCGGTTCATTCCACTGGGAAAATCAAGAATAGGCCACCGGTACCCAGTAGGCCTACATAGATTTTACTGTTCTCGTTAGCGTTAGGTCTTACTACAAACCAAAATTTTCTGTTACCTCACGAAATTTCGCTTAGCCAACACAGCCTCACCTGTTTGCATCATTAATTTATTGATGTTTCATAATGATCTTTATTCTTTTGATTTTGTTCCTTTTGTTTTCATTGATGAAATTACCAATGTCATATCTAATCTGTGAAACCTAGCCGCATTTCTCTGGAAAGCTTTTTGAGAATTGTTTCCAGATTATTCCGCTAACCATTCGTAGATTAGAAAACAAGCGGAACGTGCTTGCTAACGTCAACGTGTTCTTTAAATAAAATCTGAATCTGTGGAAACGATGGCCTACGCGAAATCACGCTACTGTATTCACTCACCTAGGAGTTTCCGCAATATGGGCCCTGTGAATACTTTATTTCACTGTATTTAGAACACGTTTAAAGTACAATAACTTAACTCACCGCTATCAATAACCAAGCGAAAACGAGGAATCGTAGCTGGTAGCCTATTAGCCGATTGCATTACTTCCCTGCAATTGTTTGCTTCCATAATAGTATTGTAGTTTATATTAATTTTGGAATAAAACCGATGCCGGATAAGGCTTGAAGTAATAACACAAGATAATGTAAAACAATAGTGTTAGGCCTGGTATGTGTATGTATGTATATGTATATATATAACTCAATGAAAAAGACGATGAGATGTCAACGACTTGGTAGACTTAGAACACAAATTTTATTCAAAACATTAATATTTCAACCCGTCCTCGGGTCTTCTTCAGCATGTGTGACAAACAAAATATAAGTTGGCTATTACAATAATTATGATAAAAAGTAAAGTATAATATGATTGGTCGACATTATAATAGAATATAATGAACATGGTGATTGGACAAAAAAACTAAGGGGCGGAGTAACAATTGAAATAATTAACAGATAAATTAATTGGTCACTGTAATAATAATGAGGCTAATATCAGTGTGGGAATACAGATCTCAGTCGGTAATGACAAAGATGGAAATAAACAATGACATAGAATAAAGGAACCGCTCAGATTAAACCCCCTTCAACATGATAAATCGCAAAATTGGTGCTTCGCAAATCGCATTATCCACCCCCATTGCTAAATCCTAGATCCGTCACTGGTATGTACTGTACTATCTGGAAAAGGAGCCTATACTATCTTTGTTTTTTTGTTTTTTTTGGGGGGGGGGGGAGGTGGAATATTTATATAGACCCTATTTATAATGAACTTATTATTATAATAAAATATATACCGGAGTTTTTTTTTTGTTTTTGTTTTTTTTTTCCCTAAGCCCATACTTCCATGTGTGTTACATTTTTTACACAGCCTCAACCGGGATTGTGAGAATAGGCCTCCCACTTTTAGAAAATTTAATTAGGCCCTATGCAATCCGGGCTCATTATTTGAAGTATTTTATACTTAGGGCCTAAGTCTACATAACATTACTCTTTATCAGTCGTTACCAATGAGAAATAACTAAATTTTCAAAGTAAGACAATATAAATTAGTGAAATATCATATAACAATGATAGCGCAAATTACCAATTAAATTATATAGATTCTTGTGAACTAGAATATCTATCCGCGTTGTATCTGCAATGAAACGTTACTACCATTATTTGCGGTTAAATGTGTGTACACCGGTTAAAATTTTGAAACAATTGACAGTACATGAGGTGCTGCATTAATTACTTTTGATTTCTCACAATTCATGGAAACAGTTTGTATGTCAACTTTTCAAAGAAATGTTACGACAGATTCTTAAATATTGAATGCGTTTGAACGTCTCACGCATTGACCACTTCCAATCTCGTAATTTGTGGTTTTCAATAAACGCAATGCAGGTGGATGTTGTAGAGATAATAAATTTCAAAATGTGTATTGTTTTGTATATTTAAGCTTCAGCTTTCAATTGGAATTTTGAAAAGAGAACATATTTTTCTATTCAATTAATTAATTAACAATGATCTTCACATACGCCTAGGTCTTTGTAGACCATCATAATTGAGTAGAGTAGCCGTTGAAATGTCTATAAATCACCGTGTCATAGTGTCATATTGAAATCTGAAAACTTTAGCCTTGTTCATTCCTTTATTACAATACAGGTACGAAATTCAATGTCTTAAATAATTTTAAAGGTGTTTTTGTTTTGTTTTTTATAGATCTGTATATTGTTATATGACTCTATTAAAAAGATTTGTGTAATTTCCGCTGTAATATAATTCCTCTACTTACAAACAGACATTGTTCAATTTATGAATGCGATGTTCAATATGTCACGTCTTGGAGAGTGATTCACTTCAACAGAAGTAAACTATATACGGCGGAAGCAACATAAGGCTGGGTGGGATCACCCATTTTAACAGCCACTCCAAAGTTCAGAAGTCCTTTATGAAGCAGTTCTAAGGTTTAAAGTATCGTGATCAAACAAATACTTTCTGTATTCATTGTGTTGCCCGCCGGGATTGCAAGGCGAAATAGTAACTTGTCTTCACGCATCAGTCTCCATTAATTCAACTCCTAAAATAATACGCGCTTTCAAAATACTTTTACAAAGCATAACCTTTGTTTATAAAACTAAGTATCATACTAAAACGATGTGTTTTCTTATTCAACATGCAATTTGTCGTTTTTAATGCAAATTGGTTTTTTTTTACTAAGTTCTGCATTAGACGTTTATGAATCCGATAACTTCTAGTAGTAGGCAATCTCGTCATACTAATGCAGGCCTGCGTTTCAATCGATTTAGGTAAAAACTTGAAACCATTATTTTCATTCATAGAATTTAGTTAGCAATGATTTTTTTTCTTAATTATGAGATAATAATACTAATCTAAAATTATGAGTTTGGTGTTGTAGGTCATTTGTTCCCTCACTTACTGCTATATTCTTAATCAAAGTGGTTGTCACAATTTCTTTCTTTTACTACAAGTTGGTACTTTCTTATACTCAATTAAGACACGTCGTTCAACAAATGTTTCAGATACTTATTAAACGTTAAAAACTGTTTTCCTATTAAAGACGTGATCGTTTTAATCCTCGGTTACTTTTATTATTAGTTAATAACGATCAAGTTACAAGAATTTGAAAGATAATTGCGTGTAGTGTATCCAATTAAAACTTTTAATTGCCCATTTAAAAGTGAAGTACCTGGAAGGTTATCGATTCCAATGAAACACAGATCGAAATAATTCATTTCTTGCTGATTTTTAAAAACTTTTTACTAGGAAAAATCAATGAATTAATTGACAATTATTGGTTAATGCAATTAGCAACAGAAAGTACCTGTTAATTGGCAATGAAAACAATTTCTCGCTTTCATTTTTTACCTAAATATAAGAGGTTTGAACTTACTCTTCTCAATAAGGACACATCCCACCAAAGTAACAACTTAGGTAGGCCACCGACAGAGGCATCGGCTTATTATTCTTAAATATCGTTTTTAGCTAAGATAAAAAGTACAGGCCCAGGTTTATAATTATTATGAATTATACATCGTTCCAGAAGGTCTAAATATTATAATTCAACCGTCAAGCATTTTTTTTTTGTGTAGGCCTAAATTGTTTAGACTGTATACACGAAATTAAATATCGTTTTCTTGTTTAATCATCGGCTAACTTTCAAAACTAAACGCAAAGCGACAGAAAAACGCTGTGTATCGATACGTTATCAACTGTTCATAACGTATTGATACACAACTGTTCATAACGCTGTGTATCGACACGTTATGAACAGTTGGTGCGACTTTCATGTTACACATAGAATGACTCAGCATTAGAATGAACTGTTTCACCTTTGTCTTTCTAGGTACATTTAACAAAGTTATGGACATCGTCTTAGAGGTGTGCGACCATTACTTCTTCACGCCATATGTTTATCCAAAAGATTGGAGCGAAGACTATTGGCTTCGACAATGGATCACTTTACTCCTAGTTGCCAATTTTGGTGCGATAAGTCTCTACCTCAGTTTCTCCTACTTCAGTTATGTTTTTCTATTCGACAAACGACTCATGTCGCATCCATTCTTTTTAAAGGTAAGCACTTTATATTTATTTGTCTACTTTCTGTTCGAAAACTACCACATTTTATATGTTGCTAACTGTGAATTATATAATTATATTATCTTTCACTCCAATTCAAAAATTACGATAGGCCTAGTTGAAATAGCTTAGATAGTTTGTCCTTTATTAGAATATCATCATTAAGTGGAATCATTTCCTTTACTTAGGCCTAACTGTAGTATTGTAATAAAATATATTACAAGCTCTTAGCAAATGGTACGAACAAATTTAAATCTTCCGTTACATCTTACACAGAAATTTGCATTGCACCAATACCACATTTCTGGGGCCTAAAAATAATGATACATAAAAAAACTTAAGTTCCATCAATAGGCTATTTAATAAATTACTGCTGTGGACCTTCCTTACCATCTTTTGACATTTTCATGTATACAGTATCTCACCCTTTAATAAATCCCTCTTATTTTTCAATTTAGAATTTGTCTTCTTGATTATAGAAATAGGTCTAATGTCAATATTTTACCTATACGGTATTTGGCCTAAATGAAATGTTTATAGTTTGCGGTCAAGTAAATGCATTCGAATACATTCTATTTGATATTATAGTAAATAAACCATGAATAACACAAATAGCATGTAGGCCTACATTGATTCGTTTTGCGGTGTCATTTTGTGAAAGAAGACAGCCGGCAAAGAAACATAATCGCCTCAATGTAGCATTGTTCTACTTGGCCAATTAACGACATGTGAGTGAATTCACATAAACAAATTCAATAATAAAATCACTAAATACTGAACAAAGTTGTGGTCATGTGGTTTCCTAAGCAAAATATACAAATAATTTAGATACCACTTTGAGAGTATGCTGACCCGCAAGATATAAGAGGGCTTTTTTGAAATCGAAACTCGATTGTTTATTTTATAGCCGTCAATCGTTTCCGTGTCGAAAAGTGTTCACCGAAAATGAGCACTAATGTTAGTGAGCTCATAAAAATTATTTCGTTCATTTAATCATGAAAAAGCGAAAGTGTGAATTGGCGCCAAGTGGACATACTTTAGCCGATGTATCTTTTGATGAAACAATGTGCTTTGAAAGAGTTATCGATGGACGAATTCAGGCGTTAGACTTCGTTTCCGAAATCATAAATCGTAGAAACCATTGATCGTAAAAGTATATTACATTTGAACCTCGAGATAGTGAATAATGAACACTCATAAAATCGGCACTGATAAGAAATATTTAAATGTTTTCCGATGTTGTATTCTTTAAAGAAAATTCGCCTTATATAAAAAATGCAAGACAATTAGGCATAAAGAAATCTAATGTTTGCCCATGTTGTATTCTTTAAAGAAAATTCGCCTGATATAAAAAATGCAAGACACTGAGGCCTAAAGAAATCTCGTGGCACAACACGACTTCACATTTTGTTCGTGTTCAGTTATTTTCGAAAGGCATTGGACAGTACTGTACCAGTATATTCGATGAGATGGCTTTGTCACATGCAATGTTAAAATTATTTTATTTTGTATTATATTTTATTATTTAAAGTCATATTATTCCATGAGAAAATAATGGTTGAACTGTAACCAAGCAATGCAGCTGATGTCTAAATTAATAGTAGAATATTCTACAGTCCAACTTATTTTATTTTATTATTTTTAAGTCTTATTATTTCTTCAGAAAATAATTGTTGAACTATAACCAAGCAATAGGTCTGTGTAATTTCGAGTGTTAATGTCTTAGGTCATTCCTGTTGGACAGTTCAATACGGTATTGATTAATGATACTTTGTTTAAATTTATTGAAATTAATTGTGTAATGTTAACTGTTGAGAATCTTCAGAGAATTGAAACTTATATCGTCGTAATTCTATATTCATTATGTTTATCTTAATTTGTGGGATTCTTTCTCAACACTGATGGTTTATTGTTTTGTTTGATTTTAAAGAAATAAATGCCCTATAGAGATGAAATAAAATGAAATGAAGACACAAAATGAAACGAAATGAAGTCAACTCGCGGTGACGCGTGTCGTGGTTTCTTAAATTAACTGCTATTATGCATAATGCCATTTTTATATTTCTTTAGTGATAGGCGAAATTGTTTTAGCTGACTAAAGAATCTGTAACGTCAGCGGTCGGTAGCGGGAAAATTAAGTCCAATTACCATAACAGTTCTGATGTAACCACGTTTCTAAACAAGGCCATTCTGAATATTTTTAATGGAACCCATTGTGCAGACATGGAATCATATTGGACATAATTTCTTCAACAAATTCAATTTATATTCTGAATTGCTCTTTAAAATGAGTATTAATTGGAAAATAATTCTTGATAAATCGCAGAACCTTGAATGTATTTGACATTGTGACATTTAGAACTCTCGCACGGGGTATTACCTACTCCAGTACCTACTTTTAATACCCCTTAGGACAGCGTAAATTATACTAACAGTCCGTGACTTCATATAAGTTATCGCTTAAACCCGTATGCTCATTTCGGCGCTCTTACTTTCTGAGATTTTACAGTGGACGCAGGGAATTTAGATTGTCTCTACCTGACAATTAAAGATTAGCGTTTGAGGACTTTGGATTAGAGTTAACGAAAGTGATTGCTGCAGGGCTAATATTTGCGCGAAATCTGGTATCCCTCAAAACCCACGTTCAATTAGTTGGACAATAGGTTTTGTAGAATGTAGGGCTAAATGTGCCTATTAACACTTTATAAATACAAAACGTGCTCAGGGGCGCCCCCTCCTTTTTTTTTTTTTGGAAAGTAAAAAAACAAAGGAAAAAAAGAAATAAAGAAAAAGAAAAACGATCGCCCGAAACGGCTCAGAGGTTACTTGTGAGCGTCTAGAACACAAAAATTTCGCGTGGGCATGTCCCCGGACCCCCTAGGCTAAAGTTATATCAATCGGTCCCACTTTCGGACATCTCTGGACCCGCCCCTGTGACTTGTCTGCTGCAGTGAATAAAACGTTTCTATTATTTACTACAGTTGTGAACGACTAGAATGATTGGAAACAAAATTATATAATAGTTGCATCTTACAACAAAAAAAAAACAAAAAACAAAACAAAAAAAAACCCCAAAACAAATAAAAAAAGGAAAAAAATCAAACAAAAGTAATTATTTCATCGTTGAAATTTATAGACAGACAAGATTCAGTAGTATGAAGTTAGAAAAGGCTATTACTGCACATTTATTTTTAACTACTATTTTTTTTTTTTTGCCTGGCTGTCTTCTTCCGGCCTCAGATCCGTCTGTCACTTCCCTATTCCGATCCCCTATGGTCAAACAGTCCAAGTTATCCCTTAACGCTAAAGAAAAATACTTTCCAAAGCGAGCTTAAACCGCACGTGAAGCAGGCGACAGAAAAGACCGCGATTAGAAATTCCATTTTCCTCCGGAGAAAACGTACTCGGGAGAAATTGCGTCAAATTTTAACTCATTCCTAGGGATATTGATTCTTATTGTTTTCATACATGGTAGATTGTTTGGACTAGGCAGCTGACTTTCTCTCCACCTGTGTGGTAGGGCCAGAAACAAGCAAGGAACACCGCTTGTTGTCTGCCTACAACAACTTTGCATGTGTTCCAACATGATATTTTTACCCGCGCTTGTACTTTCGAGAATGTTAAGAGTGTCGTCAAGTTAAATAGTACGTGTTTATTATGGTTGACGATCAACGGGTACAAATCACGATTTATATTTACATACAGTATTCCGCTACAGCTCAAGAGAACTATAGGGGGCGTGCTCATTTTCCAATAGGATTACATTTTGCGAAATCAAGGATGTCTCGTCGCAGACCACCCTGTTACAACAATCTTATTTGATACACGGATTAATGAAATGCTTTTATTGAAAGGTTAAGAAAAAAGGTGTGAACTAAAATATTTCGCAATGAACTTTTGCCAAAATAAAATTTTAATGTTTAACAAGAATATTATCATTATATGGCCTATACAGTATGTCTGTTTTTCTTTGTGTACAAACTACAAGTTTATAATCAATTATTCAAACATTTTTCAGACGTGTTTTACCGGTATATCTTTAATAGAGGGCCCTGCACATCAGCTGGCCTTCTTGCTCAAGTTGGAAGGGTCACCTATAAATAAAGTTTGAATATGAAATAAAGAATAAAGTTCTATCTTCTATTTTATTTCTTTTCTTTGATTTTGATGTTCTAAGTACTACAGTAGGCCCTATTTCTATTTTATTGGGAGAAATATATGAAATTAAATAATTTACTTCGATTCAATGTATTTTTTTTTTTTAATAGAATCAAATCCAAGATGAGATCCTGCTTTCCTTCTGGTCTCTTCCGTGCATTAGTCTTCCAACCTGTTCAATATTCCTACTAGAAGTCAGAGGGCACAGTAAACTATATGATGATACCAGCTCGTTTAAATACGGTAAGTCAGATTAAGTTTTTAAACGACCTTATTAGAAAAGAATGTGCTAATTTTAACCGATCTTGATTTGATTAACGTAATATTCACGTTCACATAGTTAAACAAATTTTACTGTTAACATAAGTATCAATAAAAAAAATTACAATACAAATTTGAGAGAATAAAGTATTGTTGTGCGACCTTCTTAGCCTTAGTTTGACTCGAGCTTAATTTTATCATTTCTCGACATGACCGTGCCGTGAGTTAACTAGATTGCAACGACCGAGCAATTAAAATGCTATAATGTAACCAAATGGATAAAATAGTATCGTTATTGGTGTTGTTAAACTTAATTATTAGTTGTAATAATAATGTCAAGATCGATGTAAGGTGATGTAAACCTTCCTTATAATAACTATTTTTCGGTCATATGTGAAGACATGCCGATTTAAATGCCAAAGGCCGGTGATTATAATCGCTATAATACACGAAATATCAATTGACTACAGCCTGATTTCCATAGAATCACTACACAGTCGCTACAGCGTTTTCACTGCAATCCCTGCACTGCGTACCTGTCCCCGACGCAATCGAGAACGCTCCTTGATTCTACTGACCAATCGGCGTCGCCAAAGGAGTCGGCGATAGCGTGTAGCGATTTTTATGGAAACCAGGCTTAAAGCTGCATTCGCATCAGATATCCGAACCGAAATTCGGACTGCGCTTCCGATTCGCTGAACGCCAGCGTCCCTATACTTACACACTGATCCAATTTCCTGACCGGTTCGGTAAGCCGGGTACTCACTTCGTCGTACGACGAATAGGCCTAGACCTTTCCGCTAAGCTCCGCCCTTGGATATTCTTGCTAAGGTCCCACAAGACGGCAGTGTTAAAACATACGCGAACACGTGCGTTTGTGTGGGACAACACGTGTGTTTGTAAGACGCGCGCGCATTCCTAGCGCTGTTCTGATTGGTCAGTTGTTAAGTTTGATTGACACTCCGGAAAGGTCTATTGACTGTCCGCTCCCTGTGAGCGCTAGACGACACAACAATGTCTGCTGATTATCGGTGGCAGTCTCAGCAGATCGTCATTAAAACGATCAGTTATATTCTCCATTGAATCGCGTCGGCCGACGACCGTCGGGCGCAGTGAGTGTCTTCCGATCCGAAAATTTGAATTCGGCGTGAATTCAGGCTTTGTTTACGCACATTTCAAATTAAAGCTAATTTTGTATGGTTTTTTTTTTTTCTTTGTTTTTTTTTTCAGGCTTTTATGGGGCGTTACTGGATTTCATTCCGCTCATTCTCTTCACTGACGCAGCTATCTACTGGATTCATCGGTTAATGCATCACAAAACCGTGTATAAATATGTCCACAAGAAACATCATATATATAAGGTTGCAACACCGTTTGCCAGTTACGCGTTTCATCCTCTGGACGGATTTATGCAAAGCGTACCGTACCACATTTACGCGTTTGCTTTTCCTCTTCACAAGTACATCTATCTTTTCATGTACATATTTGTTATGCTTTGGACCATTATCATCCACGATGGAGACTATAGGATTCCCGATCCATTGAAGCCATACATAAATGGATCAGCCCATCATACCGACCATCATATGTACTTTAATTATAATTATGGGCAGTTTTTTACTCTGTGGGACAGGATCGGCGGTTCGTACCGCACCCCGAGTCCGTACGTAGGCGACGGACCAATCTACCAAATAGAGAAACTACAGATGAAAAACCAAAATGGTTGCGAGACCACAAATGTTGAAAAAAGAGAGGACACTCAACCAGGAAAGCACACGAACGGCTACCATCATTGCAACGGAACATCAGACGACAACATTACGAGAAACGGCCTTCATACATGCCAACGAGAGCGTATTTTACCGTCTTCGTCGTCTAACTATAATGTCAATGTATGTGATAAATCAGAGCTTCGGCCCTCAATGCGCAAGAAAGTTTTAGAGACAGCTGAGCGCATGCGCTGAAATAATATTTTTTAACTCCGTTGTATTTAATATATATTATTCTTTATTTATTTTGTTACCAAAATGCAATGTAGGGGTGACATTTCGTATAGGAATTAGTAATAGCTATCGTTTTTAAAACTTCAAATACAGATATAAGTATAACTAAGACAGTACGAAATACGCACTTCGGACCAGACATATCTTTTGTGTAGAAACACAGAAGTGGAAATAACTTAAATTAGCGAAAGGTTTCTTACCCAAAAGATAGTGTATAAAGTTAATTTAATTACTTATGAGACGCCTGTCTAGGAAATTTATCATGGACACAATAACATGAGGCAGAGTATAATTGTATTTGTTATATATTGTATCTATTAACATACTATGAATATTTTGTATATGTACATATTGAACAGTTATGATTAATGTATTAGGTTGTGTAGCTGGTTCTACGTTACTCAGCCTTATAGAGTTTGATATGCAAAATGATTGGGTTGAAAAAAAAAATCCACATTTCTGGTGGAGTTTGGTTGCTAGTGGATTTGTGGGATTAACGGATTAAGATTGAACAAGAGGATTCCAACCGACTATCACGTCTGGATTACTTGTCTCAGAAGAAAGTAAATTGCGATATGTAAACGTGGAATCGAAATAATTTTTATGATTTTGCAGGAGACACGATGATTAGCGATTTAAATCTGTCTTCTGCTTTTAAAGTATTTTGATGAAATGTCCATGTGCATATGTCACAACACATCCTCTGTTCGTTATGAATTTATCAGTGCGACATTATCATCGTTTGATAGGCTATTCAGAGGATGCCAATGCAGTTAATTCCTTATTAACATTTTACTTCATTATTGATAATATTTTGGAAATGAGCTTCAGTTACTAAATGTTAATTCTTTCTTTATAAAAATCAAACTTTCACTTACTGTGCTAGCCTACTTTGTTCACCAGTTTGAGAAAGCCTCCAACGTGGAAGAGGACATCGCAAAAAAAGTAAATGGAATTTGTTTATTTTTTATAAAGAAAGAATTAACATTATGAAGCAAATGAATTCATGATGAATTTTTTCAATAAGCCTCAGTTACTGTCAGTATATTTTTAAAATTTGAAACAATTTTGAGCGATTCTTTTCAAGAAATAAATTAAGAACCATAATCTCCCTTATTGCGAATATTTGTGTTGCAAATTGTAAAGATATAATTACTTAGATAGGCCTATGCTAATTAAACAATTCAAATATTGAATTGTATTGCTGAAATGTTTAAGCTAAACACAAACAGTATTATATTTAAGAAATAAAGTTTACCTAATTTCAATGAAATATGTTACCAAATCCTAGATGATGTAGAAAGAATTTGATATTGCAATGATGGTATAAATACAGAAATTGTTCTTTTCTATTAAACTAGTAAGCTCTAATTCACGTTCCTTTCTTCTTGTGTTTATTTTTTTGTCTGATTGAAAACATAATCAATCTAAGATTGGTTTACGAAATCAGTGCGGCATACAGTACTATCATCATTATCATTTTTAATATAGGCTTCATACAGTTCCGTGATAAACCAACATGATGATTTTGGGAACTCAAGATGAATAATATTATACTACAACTGTATTGTTTTTACACAGTATTTTCAAAGGGCTATTACATTATCATTATTATTATCCTTTATTTACAACTTATTATTATTGTTTTGCTGTTCCTGTTGCACTTCAGTAGGCTATTTAAGAAAATTAAATTATCATCATGCTTGTAACACATTTAATTTTTCAAATACGAAAAGAAACTCAAATTTTCTTTCATGTTTAAACTTAACTTAGCCGCATCTAAGAGAATTGAAATACCGGTACTCGTTCCGTAGTGCAATGAGCATGTTAACGATTTCGAGATATGAAGACCTGGAAAAGGTCCAGGTCATCCCTAGTATTCCATGATTTGGTTAAAGCTAGGCCAATCGAATCACCCTAATGATGATGTTAACGAGTTTATTAATTAAGTAGGAGCCCTACAGACAACCGCACGCTGTTCCGTAAGAGATTACCCCGAGGAGTGTATACACTGCCCCCAGCATGTTTTTTATCGAAAAATACACTCAACAGAGCGTGGACTTACATCCTACTCTTGATTCTCATTGGACGAAACTATCAGCAGACGAGAATTCCCATGAAAGTGATTGGTCAATCATGTTTCATCATGGAATTTTGGTCTAATGACGTCATCCTTTGGATATTATGTTTCAATCGCAATGTGGTAAAATATGATCAATATTTGTGATCTTGTGACTTTCGGGTCAATGTCAGTGGGATGATGGGAAGAGTGAATTATCAGCTGCAATCTCTCCAAGTGAAGGTTAGTATGATTGCTGTGACAAATATAACAAGCATTTTATCTGATATTTACCCGTTTGTAATTGCCGTAAGCTAAACCAATACTACGAACATCGGTATCGCGTTGCAATTACCAGAAGAAAACATAAACATTTACAGTGAGAAATGCAAAACGAATTTGAAAATGACTGAAAGAGAGTCGGCAATTGAACTCTTATTAAATTGAAATTAGAATAATTAGTTATTTTAATAGTTAGGGCCTAATTTATACAGATTAAACTCTTAAAAAATAATTGATCGTGAAAATAAAAAAGGCATTTTCTAAGTAGAGTAGCATCGGAACCAGTCCATTTGTTTTAGATTAGAATCGTTATCGTCATTATGATTTTCAATCATAATATTATAACGATAATAGTAATGATAATGATAACGACGGCGATGATGATAATGATTATGATAATACCGTTCAGTTATTTTTTTGAGTGGATTAAAAGTACAGTACAGGTTGTGTAGTGTTTTGATAACCTTAGCAGTTATATACGATTACTAGTGTAGCCTATAATATTGATTATAATATTGATTATTCTTGATAAACCAATTTGTTACACCTACTTTCGATCTGATCACATCACAGTTCTTTATCAGGCACTTCTGAATTGTTTTAAACAATTAATTACAAAGTTAGGGCAGTGGTTTGACGGCTTGCATAATTTATAGTGTTCATAAACCGATGACGTCGTCGTCGCTAGCGGCACTTTTTTCTGAACATTATCACACCGTGCACTTCACCTTGACGAATGTACTATATCGCCATTGGTGACATAATTTTTTGGCCATCGGGACATTATCTTTGCACACCTAATGCAAACCGTATGTTTGATAATCAAGCATTCTACTGAACCATTGCAGGATGCACTATATCGTAGAATATCACGTGAAAATAACGTGATTATAAATGGTACAAAAGGCGAAAAAAAAGTCGAACATTAACAACGATAATAACAGCAGAACTTACATGTTTCTTTCGGTGAGTAAATTTGACTGCATCAAATTGGATTGGCATGGTTATTGCTACGGTCTACTTTCTGAAGGAACACTAACTGGAAAGATATGTTCCTTGTTCCTGAGATTCCGTGATCCAGGATTGATCCGTAATACCCACAAACTTTCCTAGCGTAAAATCAACAGATTGGTCGTGGACACGTGGCAGGCTACATTTCATCCTCTCTTCAAAAATCTAAAAACAACTTTTCTTGTCATTCTGTTGATGCTAATATTAATCACAATATTACTTACGGTATTATTGTATGTAAATTGTTCTTTTCATGTTATACAAATCAGCCTTCTTCTTTACTGCAACGTAACTAAAGGCGGAGGATTATTCATCAAGCTTGGAAAAAGTTAATAAATTAATCAAAATGTACAGTTCTCAGTGGCGGCGCTACGGGAAGGGGGCACGGGAGGGTATTTGCCCTCACCCAGAAAATGTTCATTCCCCCCTCATCCCAAAAGAAGGAAAACCATTCGGGAGAAAAAAAATTATATGTATTTTCTACATATTAGTAAACTCTCTACATATAAAATCAAATCAAAATCGACTAAATAAGCCTCCGAAACCCCTAGTCTTATTTTTCGGGGGCTTCCCTCTGGACGACTTTTTAAATATTTTGAACAATGCCCAATCACGCCCACCTTAACATATTTCCTCCTAAAATTTTACTTTGCCTCTCACTTCCCCCATCCCCCAGATATCGCTGGAGTCACCACTGACAGTGTTCCATTCATTGCTTTCTGTCAAAAACCTACTGTTCGCTCTCCAATCGAGACCATCTTTGGGACCCAACATTTTGGTGTGTTCTCCGACTTTGGTCTCAAATAAAAGGTTAGATTTGTGTTAAGTGTATCGACTTCCCAAAAACTATGTTACTGATGAACACATAACAGATATTGTTTTTGAAAAATATGTTATTGTTAAATATTATTATGAAAACTATTGTCACGTTAATAGTAAAATACTGTGCTTTGTTATAAAAAAAATACAGTAATGTTATTAACGAATCACAGTGTCACAAAATATGTGTTTATGTTGTCGTATGGTGACAAATGCATTTAACACAAACACCAAAGAGTTACAATAAATATATAAATTTATAGATAAATATTTATTCAGAACAAACCATCAATAAGTAGTAAGTATTGATGTCTTTCAAAGGCATGTGTGAAATAAATATAAATACAGCAAAAAAACTATCTACAGTAACAACATTTAAACATTTCATTTTAATAATTTAAATAAAACCAATTGACCAGAAATTGAAGACATGAGGATAACCTCTACAACAATACACAAAGCTCTGTCCGGATTATCAAATTTTATTGGACAAAAAACTGTTGTATGCCCATATATAGTCATGGTGTGCCAATATATGGTCATATGATGACCATATTTAGGCATGTCATGTGTTTTTGTCAAATAAAATGTGGTTATTTGGACAGGGCATTATAAACAAAGTAAACACAAAGGTTGTGAACTTAAGATAACTCGGTGTTAAAAATGCAATGACTGACAAAACAGCAACATACAATACACAATGATGGACTAATGAAACATAATGTGCAGCAAGGTAGATTCACACCGAATCTGAATTTGGTTCATATGGCTAACGAAATGAAAAAAGAATATTGAATCAGCGGTAAAGAATACAGGCGTATACTAAGACACGCATCAAAAACGTAGGAAAACACAGTGTACAAAAACTAAAAAAATGCAAAAATCTATGAAACAGGAATGTACAATAACAGAAAAATCATTAACAACAAAAAAAGAATACATAATGCTATCTTATTATTTCTCCCCTCAGCTCGTTGAAGTTTTTTTGCATATTTAACTCAAGCCCCGATGACAAAAATTATTTTCAGATTTAGAAGGCACTTTATCAATTTGACAAGTCGTTAACTGTGTTTTGCAATAACCAAGGAAATTGCAATACACGATCTGTAGACAGTTCCTGTTATGTTACTTGAAGGGCATTCACTTCAATGAAGATTTCTCAACAATTGTGTTAACAACTTGATTTTGAAAGACAAATACTTTGATGCGATCGCAAATCACCACAAAAATAAGCAGAATCGAAACGTATTGAATCCAGCCCCACTTGATGACGTACCAGAAGCCAGGAACATATGTAAAAACAATTGTTAAGGAAAAGAATTAAACATTTGAAAATAAATAGGTCTATAAAAATGTATATTATATACATACAATATGAGACCATAACTCACACCTCAGTATAAAGCCAAAATGAAACTTACTCAAAAGTTTAAAGTACATTTATGCGTATATATTTATTACACACATTTAGATTTATTTATGTACAGTACTTGTACGCTAGGAGGAACAGAACATATGTATTGAAAAAGCATTTTTGATTGATTAATATTTATTTGTTGATTTATCAATTTAATGATTGATTGGTAAATTGGTTTATCGATTTTACAATATTGATTTATAGATTGACCAAATAATAAACTTATTACCTTGCTAGTTACATGGGATTTTGACATGGAGATTATAGATATCTAAACATTTTTTCCTGTGGTAAAATCCTCTGTTAAAAGATTTACAAACTATAAAGACACAATATTAAAGGATATGGAATTATTTCTTGAGGATATCGAACTGTTCCTTTAACTCTGAAATCCTGAGACCTTGCTCTGGCTGTTACCCATACTGGATACTCACATACAAAACTTGTTGTTACTATAGAGAAAAAAAATTATATATTAGGAATTACTAATTACCAGTACTGTATTCTCCCATTTTTTAAATATAGAGACGAAAATATTTAAAAAATAAAATGAATTTACTGTTTCTGTCCAAATACTAATAAAAAATACTTCCTAATTCATAATCAGTCGCAAATATGGCATCTAGGAATTTAGGGAAAACACTGAATGTCTTGCAGTTGTGCAGAAATTGGAATCCAATTCAGTTTTATGTATACAAATAGATGTTTTCTCAAATTCCCTTAACAGTTAGGAATTTCCTTAATATTAGGAATTATTATTTACCAGTACTGTACTATACTATTTTTTAAATATAAAGATGAAAATATTTAGATAAAAAAAATAATTTACCATTTCTATCCAAATACTGATTAAAAATATTTCCTAATTCATAATCAGTTGCAAATATGGCATCTTGATTAATGACAGGAACCTGTTGAATTAATAATACAATTAATCAATAATAAAATTAATTAATAATAATGTATTCTGCTTGCATATTAAATTCATTCCTAATTTTAAGTAGATTAATGTATAAAATAACATTGATTAATTAAATAACTTAAATTATAAATTGTAGAAGTGGTTCGGCGCAGTGGGAACGGTTTGGTTTCCTAACCTCGAGGTTGGGGTTTCACTCCCCTTGCTGTGCATTTCGCTTGTGTCCTTGGGCAAGGCACTTTGTCTGCATTGCTTCTCTCCACCCAGGAGTATAAATGGGTACCTGAATAATAGGCGCTGATATAGCTGCTGCAACTTTATGGAACAGTTTGTGTTCCATAAGCGTCTAATCCAATAACCGGGGCAGTAATGTGAAGCGCTTAGAAGCTTTGTTGGCATTAAGCGATATATAAATATAACATATTATTATTATTATTAAATAATGTCATGTTAAGATATCAAGGTCATCTATATTTTTGCCATTTCAAGGAAACAGCATAAATTGTTAAAATTGTAAGTCAAAAATGACTGTTTGTTAGCAGTGAAATTTGTAGTAAATCACCATGGTAAATCATCCAAAGCTGTTCTTCTCAAGCCAGTAGCACTGAACACAAGGGATCATAATATGCCCTCAAACTTACATTATATCTAGAATCAGCACCTTTGTGAGCAAGTGGCGACTTAAGACGTAACCTTAATTCACCATCTGTAATTAGTTCAGCACCGCTGAGCGGTGAGCTGTGTTGAATATACGCCATTGACTCCATTCTTAACTGTGACATTCTCTAAAAAAATAAAATTGTACATCAACTTTAAAAAAAAAACTCACAATATAGACAAACTAGCAGTAATATTTCACTATCTCTCTCATCACACACTCTGAGTAGTGCAAACATCACTGTGCCACTGATAAATTAATTTCCCTCATTTATTCAAATGATATATTGATTAAGAATATAATCAATGTTGAACTTGATGATTAAGTGAGGGGGGGGGGGCTAGCTTGCAAAATAAGGTGTTATGAGGTGATTTTTAACTACTTGAGTGTAATTTTTTTTTGCTTTAAACATTTCCAGTTGGTAGGGCAGCGGAAGAGTGGGGTGGGAGGGGGCTGTGGAGGGAGGAGCTATTTTTGTTACACCACAGTTGATTACATTATTAGATATACAGTATACTTACATACAATCGGTAATCAAATATAAGAAGAAGCTTGACTGAATAAACCTCTTGTGTGTCTAGTAATGGAACCTGGATGCTATAATCCAATTGGTCTGGTTTTCCATCTCTATTGCTATCTTCTTCTCTTGTCTGTAAAATACAAGTAGACACAATGTATGACCATCAGAATGATGTATTTTAAAAATCCAATTTCAACTGTAAATCCAGAAATAATTTTTTTAATTGTTTTGCTATAATTGATAAATTCTTCTGATTACACTCAGCTTCACTTTATTTCAACTTTTGAATGAAATTGTATCTACCACTATTTAATAATAATAAAAATTATTACAGATATTCCTACCCCTGTCTGGAACTAAAAATTCAGGAGTCTGGATGTGCCCTAGTGAAGTGTGCCACCACCCTCGAAATGTTGAAATGTTGTTTTTCATACATGCATTCTGATCTTTTGAGGTATTGGAAAAACTCAGAAAGTCTTTGTATGCCAACATTGTTTATATTCGGCTCACAAAGAAAAAATTTACACAGAAATACTCCATTACTGGTAGCAAAAAGCCACTAAATTAGCATATATATATATATATCCAGATTTTCTACTGCTCCTTCAGATACTTTCATCTCACTTTTGCAACTTCTGAATTATTTCATACCTTGTTAGCCAACCTTATTTTCAAGAGAGAGGAGGCAGGAAAAAAGAAAAAAATATATACTGTAAAGAAATCTTTTATTACTATATTTAGCAAATTGGTTCTAATAAAAGTATTTAGGTGAAAAAAAAAACCCGATTTGAATTAATTATCGGCAATGGCGGGTTGGCGAAGAAAGGTATAAAAATGAATTGCGTAAAGTATCAGCATCATCAACTAAACAAACGCTCGGACAAGACTACAAAAATAAAAAACACACAAAACGTATACAAAATAAGGTGAAGATGAGTTCACCACCATTGTTGCTCAGTACCTACACAATGTTAATACACATACATATAATTAAAAACAAGATTTTGAAACCATTTAGTCAGGTTAAAATGCAATGTTCAACACAGTAGGATCAAATTCAGTAACAACAAAAGGCTACTGATGAATCCTTGTATCACAAACCATTACATACATCAACACGTTTATAAAATTCTACCTTAATTCCATTAAGAATATATTCAGAATTTGCATGATATTAACAATGTTTACCATTACATTTATTTTATACAAAAGTCAACATTTCAGAGAGTAAAAAATGTTAAATTCATGACAAAATAATGTTGCTGGAAAGCCAAAACAAATTTCATTATTTTAAAATTGGCATTGAATCATTTGTACAACATGTCCTTGCAAACTGAATACATTGTGATTAATTGCTTTATGTAATGGTTACATGGGGAGTCTGAACAATGATGGTTGAATTCAGTATTAACTAAGAATTGCAGACTAAAATTAACTTTAAATAACACAAAATAGATATATACAAAAATGTCGCAGAATAAAATACATGGCTGGCTGTTGTACTCAATAGTGGAGTTCTTCAGTATATTTGATAATTTCATTCCAATTATGAAATCTTTAAAAGTGTTCATAATTATACAGTAGTTTTAAACAATACACAATATTAATTACAGTTAATTTGATTACATTTAATGCCATCTAGATCATTATTGCATTTGACAAAATCTTACAACGTGCATGAACGCAAAAGAACATGCAGTTAAAAATTAACTTAATCTTTCAGTTAATTTGTTCAGAATATAAGAGTATTAGAAAAAATCCATCTTTAAAGTGTTTTCATTAAGCATTTTTTAAGTCTGCAAATTGTTCTCTACTAAATATTTATCATTATCCTGAAATGTTCTTATTATAATGGACAACAAAAATATTAAATCCCATAACATGTTCACATTATTACATTATTTTCTGTATTATTTTTATACAAGTAAAGTATTAACATTTTCAAAAATATCAAAGTTATCAGAAAGTATCAAAGGATGATTTAGCAAATGCCAGTAAGAGTTGGACCATGCACCATCTTCCATTTGCAAACCATGTTTCAAGAAAAAATCTGTAGACTAAGATGAACAGGTACTGTAGACATATTTTTCAAAAATACAATATTTGTACGAGTGACTTTTAGCGAAGGTGATATGGAAGCAATAAATATGATCTGATTTTGCTTTCTAAATGTCAAATTTAAGTATGTTTGAATGACCTTTCTGAAGTACAAAGCAAATTAAAGTTCAATACAATGGAAGTAATTTTTACTTAGAGCCTATTCCCAACAATTATCATCAAAATACATAGTCTGCTTCGGCCATATCTATGGCCCAATTGAATTTAGTACGTTGGGTCTTGTTGTACACTTTTTCTAGCGGCACCTCCCATTTCTTGCACCTACAAAAACAAACAATAACATTTGTTTAGACAAGTTATCATCAGTAGGGGGAAAATGACACATAGACAGATTCAGACAGCTTGGAAGCCCCTAAATTGTTAATAGTTTTAAAAAATATTTAAAAAAAGAAATGCTATATTCAAATTAGGCGGATTAAGTGTAACACTGGCAGTTTTGACCGTGCACTACAAAAATATTACTATTATTCAATATTTCTATTGCACAAGTTCAACTGGTACATCAACTTACCAAGCAACAGAAATTCTTGGATCTAAGTAATTAAGTTTGGAGGTTCCAAGTGCAATTTCTTTGTTTTCCTCTTTGTCTGTAGCAGACACTTCTAACTTTGTAAGTTGTTCATCTAGTCTTTCGACTTGTTTTTTCTTTCGTTCCAGAGCTCTACAAATGAAATTGAAACAACAAAACATGTTAGTATTTTTCAACAGAATTATAGAAAATGAATGTGAACCTACAACTTTGTAATGTAAAATATGAAAAATCAAATGAGACCCTTTAAGCTTGTCATTTATAAACACAATTAAATATATAAAATGAATGTGACCTCAAGTTTGTAATATATGAACACCAACAGAACGAAATTCAATACCCCAACTCAAGTTTGTCATTTGAAGCGTGCCATCCGAAACCAGCATATTTTACGCTAAACTGAGTAATCAGCAGAATAATGTGGCAGAATTGTGTACAGTAAGGCTGTAAAATTTTTACTCATAACATTAAGTCAATTCCAGTAAGCGGTCCATCATTTTGAAGATTGTAATGTGATTGTAAGTTTGATATTTTGTCCCAACTGAAATATAAAACCATTAACTCACATTTTAAGTTTGTCATTTCGACTATTCTTGTACTCTAGCTTCATCGCTTTATATTCTTTCTTCACTTTCTTCACGTCATCTTTTTTCTTCTTTATCTTTTCATGCAGATTGGTCATAGATTTCTCAAATGTTTTTGGCACTGCACGTTGATGGTTACACAAGATGGCAACGGCACGGTTTGCACGGTTGTAGGACAACACTTTAGCAGCAATACTGTCATCAGCTATCATGGAAATAGATAAAATACAGTACAGTAGAAATCCTCATTTACGAACCCCGATTTAACGAATTCACAATTTTACGAACGTAAAATAAATGTGATGACGTCATAAAAATTTAAGCGAAAGATTAAAAAAAAAACACATCCGCTCGAATTGTAACTGTTATTAGCATGCATACAACACAACACACCATACTATACAGTACTATGTAATTCTCAAGTGAAGGAGGTCCTCTAACGAGCCTCTTCAAAGTCAGTGTTTTTTATGGCTTCACACACGTGCATGCGACAAATTTTACTTCTCATTCAAACATTGTTTTCAACTTTAAAATTCAATATAGTTTTTATTGAATGATCAATATATATAATAAACAAGTATCTATGGAAGTTGTGTTGGAGTAAAATCTACAATCTAGGTGTTTAAGAAGGTAAAAATGTCTGATAAAAACAAATTTGTGTAGGGCATAGAGTGGGATCAGAATGCTTAGAAGCTGTCTACTGTAGGCCTAGGCCCCCTCAGACATAGCTGCGTAGGCCTGTAGGCCTAGCCTAAGCCTAGTTTATGCCAGTGTATGTAGTAACAGTGCAAATATATAGGAATTTGGGTTAACCCCGATTTTACGAATACCCGCATTTACGAACAGTTCTGGGCCCGTGCCGTACATAAATGAGGGGTTCTACTGTATTAGCATAATTGCACATATTACATACAGTATGGGAATATGTGGAGTTGGCGAGTTAGGTATGACGCATATATTTTGTAATTTCTAGTGGTAACAGATGGGAATAGATAGTATCTAGGTTTTCTTGTGCTAAGTGTCTTACTGCTCACTGACAATACATAAAAGTACTGTCAAATTGTAATGCCAGTTTGCTATGAGAACAGTAGTATATGCAGCACTCCAATTCGGAGTACTGTTGAATTAACATTACTTATTAAATGTGAAAAGGAAAAAGACTTACGATTTGTGAGCTCTTTCAGTTGTTTCTGCAGTGTGAAAGATGCGTTAAAAGTACGGAAGACCTTTGCTGTGAGGCCTTCCATTAGCTCCTGAAGATACTTGTTCAGAATGCCGGTGTTCAGACGATCAAACAGGTCATCCCCTGGTTGCTTGTTGTCCATGAACAATTTCAAATTCTTGAATGCCTATCGATTAATAATTTTTAAAAATTAATTTGAAAATTCTATCTGATTTATATCTAACATACAATAATTGGTGTTCAAATTACCCCAGGTCCTTGGACATGCACACTAAGATGTTAAATACCTGGAATTGTGGGAGTAAGTATGGCACCACAAATGATGAGGAGCCAAGTGTACGGCCACATATGATGAGGAGTCAAGTGTAGCAACACAAATGGTGAGCAACCAAGCGAGGTACCTCAAACAAAGGGGACTCAAGTGTGACACCACCAGAATTTTAGAGCCAATTGCGGTACTGTACTACAAATGGTAAGGAGCAAGTGTAGCACCACAAATGTTGAAAAGCCCAGTGTGGTACCACAAAAGATAAGCAACCATGTGTAATTTGCTAAATGATGAAGAAATAGAATATAATTGCTGTACTCACCCTCTTCTCCACACTAACTTTGTTGTAATATCTGATAGAGTCCTTTCCCAGGAAGTCAAACTCAACAACATATTCCTTTCCGTCGAGTTCCTCATGCAGGTTTATGTGTTCAACTCTCAAAGAACAGCAGCCAACTGTATCAGCCGTTTCTTCATCTTTCTCATTGCCAGCTCTAAGGGCAAGCTGCAATTGATGAAAAATTAAAATCTCAACAATGATTAAAACATTTTTTAAAATTATTACTGTATTATTACTTAACTGTTAAAAGGATGCCTGTGGCTAAGTAGTATTATTGGCCTTTCCAGGTATTTGCTAAAGCCTTAATACAGTAATAATAAAAAAAAAATGTTAAACTACAGTACAATTTTAATTAGAACTTATGATGATATAAACAAATCAGAAATATAATTGAAAGCATTATAAATCATATACTGGCATGAAGGAACAATTGGCCAGATTTCTTGAAGATGAAGATAAATTAGAGAAATTAGAGCAAAAATCTACTCGATATATTCCAGAGTTGAGGGGACTGGACTATAAGAATAGGTTAACAAGACTAAACCTTCAAACTAACTTATAGAAGGAAGAGAGCATCTGTTATCTTAAAAATCATTTTTTCACCGACTAATTGATATTATTGATAAATTGGCCCTGAAACTGCTAAATACCGGGATGATGTCTCTAACTAATTGTAGTAAAGAGTACAGTACTGTACAGTATTTAAGAGTAGTTATGCATATCTTAAGGTATTTAGGAATGTCAGCCACCCTGATGAATCAAACCGCCCCCTTCAAAAACAATTAAAACTAGAAATTGCAAATTGCAACTACAACAACTTATTATTACAACTGCATATAAATGTTCTTCGAACAAAATTATTTATGCGAGTCCAGTGAAAATAATGAATAACAAAAATATAACAAATAATATGAGGCATGACCCATTGTCTATATTAGAACACTGACGAGCTAACGTAGAAACATAGTAAAAACGAGCGTTAGTACCGTGTATGCCAGTCTACAACAAGCGTCGCCTAAATGTAATAATTAGCACGCTGAAATAGGCTAGTAAATAAGTTTAACTGGGTTCGCAAATAATATTGACCTCAAAATATTGTGGCTGAGACATGGGCCGATTAAACATAGAAATAGGAAACCTAGAAATATAGTAAAAACGCTGAATAATAATACTCGAGCGTCGCCACATGTGGACGTTGGTACGTGTAGGTTAGTCTACAAACGTCGCCTAAAGTAATTGATTTTGCCCGGCAGAACGAAAGAAGGAAACTCCGCTTTTCAGTCGTCTTAGGCCCTTGTTTTTTGACAAACAATGACCTTTCAGAGGTCAAATTGCTGTCAAGAATATGAATTGGCTGCTTCGCAGCAATGATGATGAAACTCTCAATTTATTTGCTGGAATGCTTTAGCCCCTTGAACCTACAAATGTTCTTTATATGAACTTCACCAGCAGAAATGTGGAAGTCTGGTTTTTCTAAGAAGCTCCCTGATAACACCCCACTTCAAGAATCCTGGTGCTTACACCCACATGTTCGTATTTATAATAATAAGGTTATCAACATAACCCAATTAAAAACAAAACAACTAACAATTTAATAAAAGTCAAGGTTGCAGATCAAATAAAAAAAAAAAGATAAAACCCTACCTTTAGCCTGGAGGAAGCTCCCAACATTACATACTTAGTTTGACCCTGAACGTTCTCTGTCCATGATGCCAACCAAGACACTTTATTGTCATGAGTAACTTGCTTCCATTTATGTCCGGCTGGAGGTTCTGGGATTTTACTGTCCCTGAAAGATAAAACAGTTACTTTTAAGAAAATTTGCATCCACATTTAGTATCCCTAAAAAGCAAAAATAGTAAATTAATCTTGCAACCAGGAGGGTCTCTTTAGCCCACCCCATGAATAGCTATTCTTTGGTATGAAACTTTGCACAACTTTGTGCACCCTTACATTTGGTATCAGGCAAACAGGTATCAACAAATATGTTTCTTAACAGTGGTGTGAAAAATGTTATACATTAATTATATAATTTATATATATATATAAATATATATATTATATAAAAGTAATATACATACTTGCTACAATTGATGATAACGTCCTCTGCTAATGTTCTCCTCTTCAACATCCCTTGTTTGGGATGCTCTCCTCTACCCCTAAACAATCCCGGTGGTTCAATTTTGAAGTTACCAATTTTTTCCTTGTGATTGTCAATTGTACAGAAACCATATTCTTCTACTATTGCTGCATTCTTTTCTTTTAGTTTCTAGAACAAAATGATGGTCATTGTCAAGTCAGTGGTGTGTCTAGGGGTGCATGGGAGGGGGGAAATCAAAGGTCCAACAAAAGCTTGTGCTACTGCTCCCTTAGTCTCTCTCCCCCAACCCCCACCCTCCCATTTAAAATGTCTGAAGGAAAAAATTACACTCAAGTAGTTAAAAATCACCTAATTTTGCAAGCTAGTTTCTCCTTAATTTATTTAGTGTGCACTTAATTTATTCAATTTGCACTAATGTGCCCCCCCCCCCTCTTCCATCAGCACTCATTTTATTTTTACCCTACTATATCATTTTGGAAGCACCTTACATTTAGAAGTATGCCACTGATGAAAAAGTGTAGTTCCTAATAAAAATTTCTCACATTTTTTTCTTCTTTTGACCAATTCTTCCGCTCTTCTGATTTCATAACGAAGTATTGATGCATTTTCTTGAAATTACACTTCTTTAAGCTGGTTATAATTTTTCTTTCTTCACTTGTCATTTCCTGCAAGAATATAGAAAATGATACAGAGAAGCTTAACAAAATTGCTATGGCCATACTTGTTATGATGTAGAGTAACACTCAGCATGTTGGTGATACAAGGAAAACTAAGTTGTTCCCAGTAAGGCAAGACTTCTTTATACCTTGTTTAGTGAACCCGCCGACTGCATAATATTGATGATTTTGAATAAAAATAAAGTTTTATTTTTGGCCAATTAGCGCACCCGCCACCACGAAAAAGTGGACATTTCAGAAAAAAATTAAAGTTTTTCTTTATTTTTATTATGTCCTCCGCTGCCTTGAAATCTCCAAAGATAAGATATGTGTATATTCATAATTCATATATTTCTTCATAATTATACAAATTTGAAGCATTTAAACACCCTATTTTACATTCACCATTAAAATTTTATTTTTATTTTCTCCTTTGTCAGGATGATTTTGGCAAAACTATTTGCTAAATAAGAAAACAAACAAAATTGTTATGTTTATTCTGCCCTCTTCTGACAATCTTTAAAAAAATGAGTATGCGAAACAAGGAATTAAAAAAGTCTCGCCTAAGGAAAACACATGATGTTGCTGTCTGTGTAAGCAAAATGCAATATTTGTCGAGTGTTGACAACAGAAATTATCAACAAGGGGTTGAACAAGTGCAACAGGGATCCGTGTGTCTTAGGACCTCTGTTCAGAAATAAAACCACTATTGGGGTCAAGAGAGATATTTTGGGTAAGGTGGTAAAAATTGTGTTTTAGACAGCAATATCTTTGGATGGATCGACATAATTAAAATCAATTTTTTTTCTGACGACCTTGAATGGCACCTGAATGACAGGGGGTCCATGTTTGACTGACAGACCTTCCCTCATGACCTCTCCAATGTCGCTGCCACTGTTTGGTGTCAACCAAATTTAACTTGCTGGCATCAGTGTACAATAAAAACAATGCAAGATGACTTTTTTGTTATTATACAATACATATGCAAAAAAAAAAACACTCACTGTATTCGTGTAATGCAAAAAAACAACCTACCTTTCTCCAATCTTTAAAAAAGTTATTGTTGAAGACCTCCCTCGTGGTGTAGTCATGATCTAGCATCCGTGCATAGAAACCAGCCACCTCCTCAGCCTTTTCACTTAGTTGCATTACCTCTCCTAAGATCATATACAATTTAATTTTAATAGAATAAAAATCCACAACAAAAGGCAGGAGGCAAAAAATATACTTTTATACATATTTTAGTTTAGTAGTATCTAGTGTTTAATCAAATGTAGTGTTCAAAAATAAGATCATGTCAAACATACCATCGTAATAAAATTTGACGCTCTTCGGTAACGGTTCATATTCAGCGGCAAATACAGGTCCTTTGTGTTCTAGAAACTTCCACTTCTCACCACCAGCATGGCCTTCCTCTTCCCACCTACACAAAAATATTTAAAAAAATATTTATAATGACTAATAATAGTGCATCTTTTTCAATAATTTCTTTTTCAATAAGTGATGCGAGACCCTGCAGATGCCGTGTACCTTGTTTATAACACTTGTGTAATGAGCACTACAGTATATAAATGTTCATATTATTAGTAAATTATATTATATGTATCTATATGCATTTTTTGTGAAGGTTCATCTCAATAAGTGATCATTTTTCCTTTACCACACATGCATCTATAAACAGTCTATGAAATGAGCATAAAAATAGCAGTTGTGGATATTCAGATCATGGCATTGTATCATCTAGTTAAAAAAAGCACGATACCCACAAATAGCGTACATGGGAAGCCAGCGACAACCAGCACTGCATAGTCCATTGGAATATGCATGGAATAATGTCAACAGTTTTTCTACACGTTCCAATGTCATCAATGCACGGATTGAGTGGGCAAGTAAGCCAGACAAAGCCTAGTTTGCCTATCAAAATTCCACACGGCCCAACCTCTGCTTCACATTTCTACTTGTCCTGGACTATACACTTAATACTCACCATTTCCAAATGGGTTGTTCATCCTCTTTTTTCTTTTTCTTCTTTTCTGGCACTTCGCTTTTAACTTTGGCAGATGACTTGGATTTCTTATTGGGTTTCTGAAAAAAATATGATAATTGCCTGCATTTTATTCTAATCTCACGCCACAAACAACAGATACCACACTGTACACATATGAGGTTTGCCATCCTAAAACCAGCATAATGTTTCTGATTGTTAAACTGAGCAATTAGTATAAAAAGTGACAGTATTGTATACTTTAGTACAGAGAAGCGATAATACTTTGGCAATAGTAAGCCAATTCCATTAAATGACCCATCATTACAATGTGGAGAATAATATGTAAACAAGTAAATTTTCATTTTCAGTCAATGGTGCTGGTTCTGGGTTTCTCATATTATTTAAATAAGTCTCTTATTACTTAAATTAGTTTACTAGCTTTCAAACGATTACGATACAGTGCACCCTCAATTCGAGACCCTCCTAATTCGAGACCACATTTCAAGGAACCAAATAGCAATTTTCAATCTTTTAACACAAAGCTAATCCTCTAATTGGAGACCGAATCCCGAGACCACCCCAAATTTTCAGGTCCCAAAGTGGTCTCGAATTGGAGGGTGAACTGTATATAACCTATATTAACCTAATTACAAAACAGTATTTATCATACTCAAGTTACGATAAATAGCATGCACCTCCATTCAAGATTTTTTTTATTAGACCAAATAAAAAAAAAATAGGAAAGTTTACTTACAAAATCATCATCACCTTCATCAGATTTCCGTTTCTTTGCCTTTTTATCTTTTTCTTTGGTTGCGTGTTCCTTCACTTTAATTTTTTTCGAGCTATATGATTTAATGAACAGAAAGGAAAAGAATTTAACACAATGAAGCATCTGTATGGTTGACTTACATAGATAATGAGGAACATAATAAGTTGAGTTCTGCAGAAAAAAATGGGGTTTGTGGCTAAATTACAGAAACATTTCCGGCTACGAGAAAGTATTATAATCACAATACTGAAAATTTGTTAATATTTGAGTGATATACACACAGTAACATTATTCATTTAAAGGTTGTATTGTACTTTTCTGTTTTTATGCCCTTTTTAGGAATTGTTCACTTTTGTATGTGTTGCTTTTATGACTAGTTTTTAAACTTTTATATTCAGTGTTTCACGGCGATTTGATTTTGAAATAAAGAAATTGAAATTGAAAGGTTACCTTTATCATACAGTTCACCCTCAAATTCGAGACCACTTTGGGACCTGAAAATTTGAGGTGGTCTCGGGATTTGGTCTCCAATTAGATGATTAGCTTTGTGTTAAAAGGTTGAAGATTGCTGCAGTTCACCCTCCAATTCGAGACCACTTTGGGACCTGAAATTTGGGGTGGTCACAGGATTCGGTCTCCAATTTAGAAAATTAGCTTTGTGTGAAAAGATTGAAGATTGCTATTTGTCTCTAATTAGAGGGGTCTCAAATTAGTGGGTGCACTGTATTTGGTTCCTTGAAATGTGGTCACGAATTAGAGGGGTCTCAAATTAGGGTGTGCACTATAGTATATTAGCATCAGTTGAAACCTGGTAAAAATACTGATCTTCTTACCTAATTTCATCTGAACTTGTTGGGTGAGTCCGTTTCAGACTTTTCTCTGATTTTACCTGAAAAATTGAAAATTTTTTCTATCATTTCTTATTCAGAAAAAGGCAAAACAAACCCTAATGAAATGTTTATCTAACATTTTTTGTTCAGGAAAAAGCAAAACAAACCATAATAAAACAATTTTATATTATTTTTTAAGAAACAAAGCATAATGGGAACATTTTTTTTTTCGTTTTAGGAAAGGGAAAGTAAAAACAAGGCATTGGTCTTCTAAATTTATTTTTTGTCAAAAACTTGATAGCAAATTAAATTTAAGACTACAAAAGGATAATTTTTAAAGAGCCATTAAAACCATGAAGCAGATCTACATTACTCAAAATATTGAACATACTGTACCTGACTTTTATCTTTGGATTCATCTTCTCGTTTTATCTTGGGAGGGCTGAGAAAAAATATAGATTAGATTAAGACGAAGTATTTTGTTGTTTTTTTTAATATCATTTCTGATAAAAATCAAGACATCTATTAATTAACAAATGAATTAATAACTTAAAAATTAATGATGAACTGCACATTGTACATATGTTAACTCATATAGTCACCTTTTCTGAATTGAAATGTAAATTTAAATAATAACTTTACCTTTGTACTGACGATTCTTTTACTGGTGACGACGATGGCTCTTTTTTAACTTTAACACTACCATGTACGCTTTTATCTGCACTTTTATGCTTGTCTACCTTTGGAGAACCTAGACTGGACTTATTTGAGGTGGTCTTTGAGCTGCTGCTTGATTTTTTATGCATCTCTGAAGACTTCTTTTCCCCATCTTTGCTTTTGCTAATGCTTCCTGAATGCTGCTTGTGCGATCCATGCTTAGAATGGTCGGATGAATTGTGGGTGTTGGATTTTGGATGATCTCCTGATGACGAAACACCATTCTTGGGTTTCATTGAACCATCTTTAGGTTTACTTCCTGAAGACACCTTATGTTTATGATCACCATGTTTCTTCATGTTCTCGTCTTTGATTTTAATTTGGCCATGTGGTGAACTATGATTACTTGTACTTTTTTGTTGTTTTGGAGGGCTACTTAGCTTCTGCTTCATCGCACTGGTGTCCATGCGGATTGGTGATTTCCCTATAAAAAACCAAGTTCATTTATAAAATTCATAAGATGATCAAGACTTTGATAGTAGAATACACTAAAAATAAATTAATTGGCACTCAATCAAGGAGGATATATTTCATATTTTAGGACTTGTTCCTCCTGGTAAAGTTGTCCCTTACAAACTCTCCCCTAAACATAAAAAAATTCTCTCTGCAATCTCACCCCCTAACAAAGTCTCCCTTATAAAAAACACCCACCTCCTAACAAACACGCCCTCTAAAAAACTACCCCACCCCCGATCTCCAACAAACGTTTGTTAGACTTAGGCCTATACAGTTTAATTAAGAATTAAATATTTAGACTAGATTTGGTTTTGTATTTAAATTAAGTTAAGGCCTATTTATTTACTGTAGATTCTATTTGTTAGGTGGAAGAAAGTTTGCAAGGGGGCCAGTTTGCTAAGAAGTAGGGGGAAGTTGACTGGTCGTAATAAAAAATTGTATACCTTCAAAACAATACTTTCTGTTAATTATCAAATTTCTTAATATAATATAATAAAAATTTATAAATATAAATATTGCACAAAGAATGTTATACACTGCATACAGTAATAAAAATTGATAAATAGGACTTGGCACTATTTTGCCTGTTACAAATACATGGGGGCCAATTACACAGTACAAAGAATCTACGTCACTGCTACACTGTAAACGACTGGCCCACTGGTTTCACGTGCGGTTCGTCGTTGTGATTGATGAGAACGACTTACCTTCAGAATGGGATTTCTTTACCGGTAAATCATCCGTATCCTATCGTAAAACAAAACATAAAACATATTAGGTACATATGATTGGCATTACTTAAGACAAAAATAATTTAAAAAAGGCAAAATACGACTGACATGATGAACTGGATGTTGGATCAGTAATCAGCGGCCAGGCCTTATCGAATGGGGTTGCGCTAATGTTCAAAACTAGGCTACAGCCGGACAGAAAAATAGAATATCACTGCTGTGTAAGAAGTCAAGTATATTCGTTGTAGCTGAAGAATGAACAATATTCCTGGGTGAAATAATTACAAAATTAGATCTAATGATTAAATTACTTTTTAAATTTAACTTACCATAGCAGTGACCGTTCAGCTTTAATTAACTGGATTAAAAAAAAACGATCAAAGTTGTTGTCTTGCTGTTGGCACCGGTTGAAATAATGGCGACTTCGAAGCGTTGGCTGAAAAATTGGCTAAGTCCCGGTTTAGTGGTACTGCGCAGTCGTAGTAGATGTCCCGGATGAAGAAGAGTTGCTATTCGCTGTTCATATTGTATCCACCAGATTGCTTATTGTGTGAAGCTCCTGACGTCTAAAATGTTCTGGTATGAATGAGTGCAATGGGATTCGATAGTGCCTATTCAAATAGGCCTATATTATTGTATAACAACTGAATAACCAAATCAAAAATGGACTTTTTTCATGTGTGGTCTACTAACTAAAATACAAATATCAAACACATAGATCATCACAAATCAGACAATGAGTAATAATTATCTAAGGCCTAATAATAATGGCCATAATTATAATAACAATCACAGGCATTCATGCATTTGCCAGGAAAGAGAATAGGCCTATGCAATTATCTTGAAAGATAATTTTTTAATGAATTCGTTGAATGAAGTTGAGCCACTTCAGAAACTCAATTCCATTTTTTTAAATAGGCCTCGGCCTACATACGGTATTATGGATAAATGAAATTGAATATGAAATTATGTTATTTGTACTATAGGCCTATTCAAATCATTCCATGTATTTGAAGTTAGACTTTTTGAAAGCCGGGTTCTGAGTGAAAAACCCCTCTATTTGGACTCTGGCATGACATAGGCCTAATTGTTTTGATAAGTCTCAATTAGGATTAAATTCCGGATTTTAAAGTTAAAAAAAATACAGCTAGCCAAAAGTCAAGGAATAACCTCCGGGCCCTACCTAAAAAATTATAATACAACTTTGAATTACTTAGGCCCTATTTTAAAACGTCAGAGATTTGGCCTAAACTATAAATATTACTAATTCTAAATCGGTGTAGCTTTCAAGCCACGTTCCAGCAGTGAGACGCAGGCCGACGGGGGCTCCGCCCCATGGAGGGAAGGGGAGGGGGCGATGCCCGACGAAAAAAGGTGGGCGTGGTCGGGTGTCGCTAAAAATCACTCGAAAGCGTTCCATGGGTGAAGCCCCCGAAAAATATGACAATTTAGGGGTTTTAAAGGCATAGGGCCTAATCGATTTTGGAGTCTAGGCCTATAGAAAGTACATTTTTTTTTTCTCCCCGACGCGACGGGGAGGTGGACTAGGCAGCTCTCTCCGACGGGGGCCCTGCCCCTGCATAAACATATTCAGCCCGCCAACGGACAACCTCCCTAGGTATATGCGCACTGGATAAACTTGATCCTATCCATGGGTTGCACAAATTATTTTTTATTTGTGCGCCTTATGGAGCTCCTTCATCCGACATGCATAGTTTGTAAGCTAATGGTGCCTATCCGTTCTCACTGTATTTTGGATTTGTTTCGTTTTTGTTTTTGTTTTTTTTTTTTTTGTTTTGCACTGAAGCATTGACAAAGGATATATTAAGTTGATACCAATAAACATTGGTGAAAACAGTCGTTTTAATCATTATTTTTACAATTCAAAAGCCATCGCCTTTGTATTTTTATGTGTGTTAATGTATGCATGAGTTAGAATAAATTCAACTTAAATCTTTGTGATTTGTCGTAGAACTCCTTTGTCGTTGACGATGGAAAACTGTCATAGGCCTATATTGTTATGTGATTGTGATCCTATCTGAAGAGCACTACCGCACATTTGATCTACTAACATAGGCCTATTGCATGGTATATAAGCCTAGGCCTACTGCCGATTCTTCAACATTTGCACATAATTATTAAATCGATTCAATGTTTATTCACGAAAATGAAAATCTTAACTAAAAGGGAAAAAAAATTAAAAAATGTAATAATAAAATAAAGTAAATAAAAATAGATAAATAAAAACAAGCACATAATATAATAAATGCAATGTGAAATTGATGTAAAAGTATACATATCAAAAACACAACAGAAGTATAATCAATGTCTATTCATAAAATCATTAAAGAAAGAGAAATAAAAGGGAAAAAACATCTATAAGCTATTAACATTATTAGCAGGGTCATTTAAAACATGTGTTCGTTTTTCCCACGCATCTTTTAGATATTCTTTAATACATGTATCAAAAATTAAGCCAAGAGTGGAATTTGTTGAGAAAAGATCATCAAGCAAATAATTAATTTTTAGATGTGGTGAACCATTGGAGAAATCTTTCCAATGTTCATGTAAATTATTTTTAAATAGAGCAATTTTAATTTCATGGAAGGTATTAGCCCTAATATTATAAAATTGTGGGCATTCTAATAGAAAGTGCTCTATATTTTCAACAGAGTTACAGTTACATAATTTGCAAAAACCTGTGCACCCATCATACCATGTACTTTCCTACCTTCTAAAGCTAAACAATTAGACCTTGATTTAAACTTAAGGCTGATTCCTTTGAAGTCAGTTTTATCATATAGATATCTTTCAAAAAAAGGTTTGTTTTTATATCTGAGATATTCATTTAAAGTTGATTTCTTACAAGCTTTTTCAAACCATTCATTATCATCATTTGTACAATTTATGAGTTTAAAATCAGATGAAAGGTAAATTGATTGATTTACACAAAATTCATGGTTTAAGTCATGCCTCGAAAGAAGCTGCTTAATGAAGTTCACCTGTCATCGTCTAAATTTTTCAACCGGTTGAAATATTTAATTTTAAAATTACTTTGTATACTGGCAATTGTGTACCATCCTAGATCTCCGTATAATGCTTCTTTAGCTACATATCTAGTAGTATTTGTATTTGACGCCAATCAAATTTGGTATGGCGCACACTAAGTGCAATAAAGATTGAATAACCCACAATTAGGGCCTGGAACCAGGCCTGGGTTTAGTTGTTGACAGCTTGTTTTTTTGTTTTTTTTTTAAATTTTAAATTTTTGCTTTTCTCTCTTGTATAGTTTAATGTATTTTAAACTGTAACCTAGAGCCTTATTTATTTATTTTTGGAATTGTATATTGTTTTATATTTTTTCCCTGTATCACTTTATATTTTAAAGATGAATAAATGATATAATAAATATATATTCAATTAGAAAATATAAGCTAAAGATTAGATATATAATGAAAATCTGGTTTTTTATCAAATACAATAGAAGCAACATCAATGCATATGTGTGCAGTTAGCCCCCAAATTTTGTATGTTTTATTTCCAATGTTGTGGGTAAACTTGGGAAAGATATATTTACCAAACATCTGGAGGGAATGCTTATTGGAAAGAAGAAAGTCTATTAGTGGCACTGAAAAACTATCTTCAACTTCATCTAAATTTAAGCAGGGCTGGAAATCATCAGGGATAAAACCAATAACTGGTACAACTTGTAAGCCATGCTCTGAAGTTCTTGAACTTCCTTGTGAAATAACCTGCACAGCAGTTTTTGGCAGTCCAATTTCTTCCCATGCTTCTCTCAGAGCTGTATCAACATCATCATTATCACACTCATCTCGTTTACCACCTGGTAAGGCCACATCACCAGCAAAACTTTTCATGTGTTGAGCACGCACAGTAAGGAGAACATGAACAGAATCATTTTTAAAAAACAGAGGAACAAGTACAGTTGCTCTTTTCCTGCCTGTCTTTGTTTCTTTTTTCAACCTTGTTGTATCCTTAGCTTTGAGGCGTTCAACTATCAATTCCTTGCATGACAACATCTTGCATCTATGAAAATAGAAAAAAAAAATGTGATCCGAAAATGAAAGTTACTAAAAGTCTCTACTGTACTTATGAAAACCATTCCCATCAATAAATAGTAAATAATTGGTGCACTCCCCAAAAATGACTCACACCCTCCCAGTCCCCACCTCCAAAATCATGGTCAAGTAGTTAAAAATCACCTAAAATCACCATATTTTGCGAATTAGCGACCCTCAACTGATCATCGAGCCCCCACCCCAATTCACCTTCTACTTTTACTACTTCTACCTTTACTACTAAATTTAGACTTAAATTTAGAAGTAGAGTTTTAGTTTTTAGAGTAGAATTTTCTTTTTTTCCCAATCTTTTTTTTTTTTTTATTTTGAAAGTTTTAGTGTGTGGGGGCTAGGCCTCCCATTAAATCCGCCGCTGGTTTAATATTTTAATTCAGTATTTATTTGACAATCGAATCGAATTGCTATCAGGTCTTCGTATTTTCTAACTTGTATGTATATTGACAATGTCCAGGGTCCAAGCCTTATATAAATTAATAACGTAAATAATTTACTATTTGATACATTGTAAACATAAGTATTAGAAGTCATGAAAATATTCATGAAAAATAATTGGAAGCGATTAGTTACCACCTTTCATCGATAAACAGGCTTATTTACAATTCTTGTGGGGAAAACACATGAATAAATACTGGATGAATGTATACGTTTAATAATTTTTATTTATTTATTATATTTTATTATTTTTCTCCTGCCGGGTCCGAGTCCCGGGGCACAGCTGCCCCGGCGCCACTGCTCACATGTGTTGCTTTTGTAGTGTGGACAAAGCCACGTCCAATACTGTAGACTCGTGTTATTGTAAAATTATTTTTTACGATATTTTAATGCACAAGGAACTAAAAATATGCCAATAATAAGATATTTAAATGAATGGTGCTACTATAAATTTCTTCCAGAGCTCTTCACGCGTCTGGACCGTAAACATTTTTGTCCTTCCTTAGGCCTTCCTTACTCAAATTAGTATAATTTTATACCGTATCATATGATACTGTAGAAATAGGCCTGATCACATTAAACCTTCTTCCACCATGGAAATTATTTATTTAACGCTGCTTGCCTGTCTGTTTGTTAGTTAATTTTGTTATTACCAAAAAAAAAAAAAAAAAAAAAAAAACATTTTTTAATTAATCATAAATTTTAGAGTGCCTATGGCTAACGCTCGACTAGCTAGCTAGCCTGTCTAGGCTTACTCTGAGTATGACTAGACTACCACTGACCAGTACTCACCAGGCCTTTGCTGACCGCAGTGGTAGTTTTTTTTCTTCTTTTTTTTAACCAGGCAGGCCAACAAGGCCTAGCCCATTGCACTAAGCTTCCAATATCCTGGCATAGAGTACTATTCATATAATATTGGCATATTGCTATTGCTATTAAAATACACTAACCTATGTATTCAAACTTCTAATCTTACCATATACTGTACATGTCGATTTCAGGATTTATTTTTATACAGTAACTGTTTACTTGGGACTTTTTCCAAGGAGGTATATACGCTGTGGTTTCTTGTGCAGCTGCGGAGTTAGTAGGCCAAGGCTGTAGGAAGCGGTCTGGTTTTGGCCGGCCCAGCATAATTCACCATCAATATTGGTATATCAATATACCAATCAATCAATATTGTCCTTTTATATTAACGCAAAATATTTTTTAAACAAAATTACAGTATGGCCGGACTCAGCACACACACCCATAACCACACACAGAAAGAACATTTTTAATATGAAATTGACTACCCGGATGGACCTTAATAGAGTTCTTGGGCGTCAACTTGGGGTATGTCCCAACCCTGAAAAGTGCAATATATTATCTATTTCGTTAAAAAAGAATAATTTTAAAAAGCACAATTATTTAATCAGTGACAATCCCATAAATCGGGTGCATTCACACAAATACCTTGGTATTTTCATTGATAGCACCCTTAGTTTTTCTCATCATGTTGTTCTTGTTGGCAAGTGCAATAGACTGCTTGGGCTGATGTGGCGCAATTGCAAAAACTTTGACAGTCAAACTAAACTATTCTTTATTTCAGTATTATTCGCCCAAATCTAGACTTTTGTTCAGTTATATATAATTCTATTTCCAAAACCCAAGCTTCGCGTATTCATCGATTACATAATCGCTTCTTGCGCTATACATCAGCCACAACCATAACCACAACATTCCCTACATTCAATCTCCGGAGTCCCGTAGGCAGTTTTTGATCTTGTTTTTTTTTTTTTATATAAATATGTTAATTCTTTTTTCGATTGTGATTTGTTAAGTAATTTTAGTCTTAGAGTCTCCAGTCGTCGTCTTAGAAATAATCCTACTTTTCATATTCCCTTTAGTAGACTTAACGTGCTTAAAAATGGTTTTATTAGTAGATTAAGCTTAGCTTATAATTCTCTTGTTTAAAGAATCCTGATATTGATATTTTTAGTGATAATTTCTCTATGTTCCGTAACAGTGTTAGAAATATTTTACATATTAGGCCCACTTAATCTGATATTATTATCACATTATTATTATTATTATTATTATTATTATTATTATTATTATTATTATTATTATTATTATTATTATTATTATTATTACTTTTTGTTTTTATTTTTGTATTCTTCACGTTTACTATATTTATGTATCCGTTTGATGTTTGTGTTCCCTCCTGTAAGTGGCGAATTTTATGCTTGCTGTTGGCTGGGATAATAAATAAATAAAAATAAAATATGCCTGGAGCACTAACCCAAACAAAAATATATTATATTTGCAACTTTCTAGAATTTCCACCGACAGTTCTTTCTATAATTATACTTCATAGGCCTATATATGAAATACAAGATATTACATTACATAGGCCTACATGTTAAAAAAGCGATTAAAACAATGTATATAATCCTACTAATCGGATATTCAGATTAAAACCGGGCCTACAGCACCATCGATTGGACCACAACGAATGGTCATTTTATTCAAATTGGCCTAATGTTTCAGAGCATCGTAATTCGTTGTAGTAGGCCTATTAAAACAATCAATCAATTTCGCTACCTAACCGTCTTTATATTGGTATTTTGACCCCGTAGGCCTATAATAAAAGTAAATTTTTGTCCGTCTCTAAATGTTTGTAGTGTTAATTAATTAATAATAGTCTGTTATTATGTTGAAATGTTACCTAAAGAATATAACCAGAGGCAAATCTAGAGAAAAGGTAGGGGCCATTCGACGTGCAACGCCGAGCGCGATTGGTGTCTTGTTTATAGCTCAGGGGCGGATCCATGTCCGAAAGTGGGGCCGATCGAGACAACATTACCCTGGGGTCCGGGGCATGTCCCCGCGATTTTTTTTTTGTTTTTTTGCCTAGACGCCCGAAAATAACCTCTGAGGCGTTTTGGCCGATCAATTATTTCTTTTTTTCTTTACTTTCCAAATAGGGACCCCGGCCGCCCCCCCCCCCTCTAAATCTGCCTTTGATGCTGGAGACAATACACTAATGGAATTTAAATCGAAAATTATCTTTTTTCTTGGAATAGATAACGTGCTGTCCTCTATCTGAAATTTCTTTTCTTCCTAATTTTTTTTTATTTGCTGGGATACACGTGCTCCCTGATAACAATTGATTGAATGATCGTTTGAGGATTATATAATGGCACGTGCACCTCTTCATTGGAACGTAGGTCGCACGCTAATTAAATCCACGTAAATGACGATTTATGCATAGCCTAATTTATAAGCTGGACGTAAATTATTTAAAACAAAAATGTGTGTGCAAAACATTAGTTGATTATATTGTTAAGTAGTCAAACCATATTTGTTGGCATTGTACTTCATCTACATTACTGATATGCAAGGGAACCCCCCCAACATTTTTTCGCAAACGGCGCCCTCATGACTCGTCGTTACGTCACTGCCTGGTTTAGGTATTTGATTTTTTCCCTTCTGAGTCTTCGATGAGCAGGGGCGGACCCAGACATGTCCAAAAAGGCGAGGAGGGGGAGGGGGAAGATGGGGATGATTGAGACAACACTACCCTAGGGGTCCGGGAGCAGGCCCCCGTGAAATGTTTGTGTTCTAGACGCCCGATAACCTCTAAGGAGCTTTGGGCCCGGTTTTGGGCGATCCATTTTTTTCTTTTTCTTTTTATTTTATTTTACTTTCAATATAGGGGCCCCTCTAAATCCCCTGACGAGGGAAATTAACTAGGTCTCAGGGAAGTGGTTTATTTGTGTTTTAATTTAGTACTCTAAAAGCATCTTTAAAAGTTCTATAACAATGAGATATAAAGGCCTAACTCATTCTAGTCCCTTTTAATAAATCTATGAATTACGTTGGATGAAAGTTGAGAGCAAATTTAGAAACTATTCCACTTTTTTCAAATGCTGTATTTATTCGAATAAATGCCCCGGGGCGTTTATTGCTGAGTGGCAGTTTTGAGGGAGAGAGTATTCGAGGAAGGCGTTGACGCCCCTTAATATCACTGTAAACGTGAAACTACCACATCGTAAAAATGTGTTTTTAAATAACTTGCTCATTTTGAATTAATATAAAAATTATCAACTTGAACTTATAAATTAGTTTATTAAAAAATTTTTTACCCATAATTTTACAGAAAAAAATAATAGAAATACTTCTCACTAGAAATGTCATTATTTTAGTATAAAAATCAGGGTAAACATTTTTAAAATTCAATATTTTCTATGCTCAGGTTAATAATTTGTATTTTACTGCCAAAATGAGCAAGTTAACTCAAAACGTTTATGACTTTTGTTATTTTAACCTTAACATTTATTTCGAAATAGTAATAATAATAATACAGTACCATATTACAAATATAGTGATATAAGTGTGGATATAAACAGAATAGGGACTATTTCAGGAATCAAAATTAGTAGATACAGTATAATCTTGACTTATGATGAATCATTAACATAAAAAAACGCAAAACAAAACTTTCAGGGGACAATACCGAACGAGGCCGTAGGCAGGATTTTTAAGAGGTTATAATTTTCAACAAAAGGGCACTTCGAGTCCTTACCCACCTCAACATAACACCATAACTTTTGTGAATTCTAAAGATATAAAACCTCAGATGTCCGGAAACGGCGGAAATGGCAGTAAAAATGCCAAAATTCAAATATATAACGTTAATTTCAACAACTTTCATGCAAATGGTACTTTTTAATAACACTGTAATTTAAAAGGGCATTTCTGGAAGAGAGGGGTTCGAAAGATCCCCCTGGAAGGGCTTGCAATACATTTTAACATTACAGTATTTCAAATGTTTTTTCTACAGATACTGTACTGTATTTTGTTTCATCTTGAATTTGAACTTTTCCTTGTTTTCAAACATAGTATTCATTCGTCTTGTATTCTTTTAGTGACACCTATTATTAATTTCTGCCTTTGTTTTGTTTATTAGATTGTCTCCGCCCCACTTTTGCTCAAATTACATTGCAAGTCTGTCTGTAAACGGGTGAAGGAAAATACCTTCATCGTATTCTGCCTTTGTTTTGTTTAGCTTGTCTCCACCCAACTTTTGCTCAAATTATCTTGTAAGTCTGTCTGTTAACATATGAAGGAAAATAACTTTACCGTAAAGAATTCTCAATGTGCCTAATTCTATTGATATTTGTTCTAATTGATCATAGTCACACAGTGTATGTACGTAGGGGAAAACGATTTTGTAAAGATGAATTTATATAATTGGATCAATGTTCAATTTTGTATTGCAAACTTCAGTTGGATCAAATTGCACATTTATTTAATGTCATATCCATAATCACACAAAAATATGATATAACAAAATCACTCTCTCAATAAATCACACTGATAAAAAACAGGTTAAATATTTTAACAATAATAATAATAATAATAATATGATGCTAAAAAATGAACATTTCACCATAACCAGTTGATATCCTGTATGCCTAATTATTGGAACTTGAAAATGACACCATGAAGGAATCAAATCATCGTTCACTTTTTAGTGTTATTTTTGTATTTAAACCAAACATGCCCTAATAATAATATGAACGATACTAATTTATAACATGTTTCTATGTGTCACACGTCACCACAAAATAGTGCTTGCTACTACTAGTTTATACTGTATACTTGGTCAGATGTATGGCCTATTGTTTAAAATAGCACTTCCAGTTAAAAAGGGGTATGACTCCTATTTTTTGTATTTTTAAGCTAATTTGCATATGAGCAGGGCTTGTGACTTAGGTGTGACTTATGAAAATTGATTCTCTCACCATGTGTTTATTTATAAAAGAAAATCCTTGTTTTTCAATATGTTCATAATGTGTAACCTACTGTTTAAAGTAGCACTTGCAATGAAAAAGGGGCGTGGCCTTATATTTTTTGCATATTCAAACTAATTTGCATATCAACGGGACATGCGACCACGGTGTGATTTCTGAAATGTTAACCCCTCACTATATGTGTTCATTTAAACCCTTGTTTGCAATATGTTCAAATTGTCTAGCCTACTACTTAAAGTTGCACTTCCTGTAAAAAAGGGGGCGTGGTCCCCTATTTTGCATATTTAAGCTAATTTCCATATGAACGGGACTTGTGATTAAGGTGAGATTTAAGAAATTTGATCTCCTCATTATATGTGTTAATTTATAAAACAAAAACCCTTGTTTTCAATATGTTCAGATTGTCTAGCCTACTATTTAAAGTAGCACTTGCTGTAAAAAAATGGGGCGGGCCATTTTAAAATGGGTTTGGTCCTTTTCGGGCTGTTCGTCCCGGATAGAGATTTGGGCACACATCCCACGTTGTTCCTAGGGCTCATATTAGTCTATAACAGTTGAGATATTCTCTCCTAAATTAAGTGCATACAAATCAGTCAGGTCCTAGATTAATTGGAGGAGCTAAGCGTTTAGAATCAAATTCAAGTATTGACTAGTTCTGAACTATAAGCTCCTCTTGGCATTCAGTTCCAATGTACTGTATTGTGATACAGTCTTTAATATAGTATTAAATTATAAATTATGAGCTAAAGATGGGATACAACTGTAAGATGAAAATCTGGTTTTTTATCAAATACAATAGAAGCAACATTGATGCATATGTGTGCAGTTAGCCCCCAAGTTATGTATGTTCTATTTCCAATGTTGTGGGTAAACTTGGGTAAAATATATCTACCAGCAATCTGGAGGGAATGCTTATCACTAAGAAGAAAGTCTATTAGTGGCACTGAAAAACTATCTTCAACTTCATCTAAATTTAAGCAGGGCTGGAAATCATCAGGGATAAAACCAATAACTGGTACAACTTGTATGCCATACTTTGAAGTTCTTGAACTTCCTTGTGAAATAACCTGCACAGCAGTTTTTGGCAGTCCAATTTCTTCCCATGCTTCTCTAAGAGCTGTATCAACATCATCATTATCACACTCATCTCGTTTACCACCTGGTAAGGCCACATCACCAGCAAAACTTTTCATGTGTTGAGCACGCACAGTAAGGAGAACATGAACAGTATCATTTTTAAAAAACAGAGGAACAAGTACAGCTGCTCTTTTCCTGCCTGTCTTTGGTTCTTTTTTCAACCTTGTTGTATCCTTAGCTTTGAGGCGTTCAACTATCAATTCCTTGCATGACAACATCTTGCATCTATGAAAATAGAAAAAAATATGTGATCAGAAAATGAAAGTTAATGAATAAGTCTCCACTTATGAAACCATTCCATCAAATATTAATTAGTCTAAGGAAGTTTTGTACTGTACTGCAAAGAAAAGCACTAGGCCTATAAATGACAAAAGAATAGAACATATTTAGAACGTCTGCATCTATGTATGAATGATAAAAACTTAAAAAATAATAATTGTAAATACTGCACACATATGGCTGAAGCTTTCAATTAAGAAGTTGGCCCATAAGAAGAAGAATGAACCATGTAACTAATACTTCCTAGGCTTTAGTAGTAATAATAGTATGGTATAGACCTAGTACCACTGAAATATATCACATTTAAATTTTAATTACTTCTTAATACCTCCTTGCTTCTTCACGAAGGAAAATATTCATTCAATACTGTTTGTTTGTTGGTTGGTTGGTTATTATTATGCAAAAAAAAAAAATTTATCATTATAAAATTTATTGGAGTAGGCCTAGTTATTATGTAAAAAAAAATATTTATCATTATAAAATTGAGTGGAGTACTAGGCCTAGCTTGGCCTACTACGAAATGAATACCACTGAAACTGTACTAAGACTTTTTTTATACCCCTGAGCTTGTTTAGTGAACCTGCCGACTGCAAATATTAATGATTTAAAATAAAAATAAAATTTTATTTTTGGCCAATTAGCGCACATGCTGCTACAAAAAAATGGAAATTTCAGAAAAAAAAAAATGTTTTCTTTATTTTATACGTCCTCCAATGCCTTGAAAGGTAAGATATGTATATTTCTTCCTAATTTGTATAGGCCTAGGCCTAAATTTGAAGCATTTAACCATCCTATTTTACACATTAATTTTATTTTCTTCTCCGTCTGGATGTTTTTGGCAAAACTATTTGATAAGAAAACAAAATTGTATTTTTATTCCACCCTCCTCAGATGATCTTTAAAAAAATAAGTACGCGAAACAAGCAATAAAAAAACGTCTCGCCTAACCAGGCCCCTTTGGGTGTTGCCCGTTGCCTGAAAAGTGGCTGGTACTGTCTGGTGGCTTTTTTTCTAGACAGGTCAAAAAGGCTATGTTAAGCCTTGCAAGCCCACCATGAATAAATAATTCGTGATTAGGCCTAGCTAGAGAACTATTTATCCTGCTACTTCAAAACACACCACTCTATCTACGTATCCAACTTCTAATCTTACCAATGCATGTCGACTTCAAGATTTAACTCTTTACTAGGCCTACCCTTCTTGCCCACCTTTTCACCTGACTTCTGAGTGAGACATTGAGTGATACTCCAGCCAGAGTTTACCCTATCTACTGTATCAAGATCAAGACTCCACCGCATGACCAGTCGATCGTCGGTGGAGTTTTGTTACGATGGGTTGAAAGGTCAAGAATTCGTTTTGAATCGTTTTATTTACGAACAAGTAGGCTGTAGTGTAGCGGCAGATTATGTGGAGCTGGCACCGATTTTAATCACCGATTCGGTCTCAAAAACTGGCCCTATTAGGTTCATAAGACACCTTTAAGTTGCACACTCAATCAGAAAATCGGTAAAGTGTATGGAAAGGTTAGTGCCTAGGGGCTAGATTATATATATGGGCTAGGCCTAGCTAGGCTAGGCCTAGCCAAGCTAGCACTAGTAGTAGTAGTACTAGCTAGGCTAGAGGCCTTGTGGTTAGCCTGCAGTGCTGAGTGGGCATAGGCCTAGATAGCCTAGGCTCTACTAGGCCAGGACTGGCCTGGCCAACTAATTAGAAACAGAGGGCCCCTCGTATAATAGGTAACTAAAACTAGGTTATGTTAGTCAGTTCCATCAAGGAGGTATACCTTTTTTTACAGTAGACAGCGTTTCGTGATGATTTAAGAAGAGGGCGCACAATTATAAACTACTGCGGATTCCGGTGCCCCAGTGATCACTATAAACTACACAGCCATGACATGAAATGCATAAATAGAAATCAATTGTGCCAATATTATTACTACTCGATATGCCACTCCTTTTATTAAAATTCTCACTCACTAAAATTATTTTTCAAAATTCAAAAGTTTGTTCTTGTTGGTTAACACTATACTAGGAAATTTTTGATTTTACTATACAACGCTTCCATTGAGAAAATTAATGTTCAATAAAAAATTTTATCCTATTGCCAGTATGGAAGATCATGCGGTGCATCGTCTAGAAGGGTCGTCAAACCAGTCCGGTGGTTTATTCATCAAAAAATCGAAATTTAAATCTCCAAAACTGGCGAAATCTCTACTAGGACTCGACTCATTAGCTGCTCAAAAGCGGAGTGAGAAAGATGTTCAAAGCACAGATGAGAGAAATAAATCCAAAAGAAAGTCTAACAGAGAAGATAATGATGAAGATGTTCAAACTGAAAAGAGCCAACATTCATCAAGCAAAAGGTTAGACTTAATTTTCCTAAATTAATGTTTTTTAATCAATCATTCAATCAACCATTTTATTTATATGGCACCATTCTAACAGTTGTTGCTTTTGGTGCTGTTAAAAAAAAAGATTAAAAAAAAAAAAGTGTCGTGAGTTGTAAATTATGTTTTTTAATCAATCATTCAATCAACCATTCTATTTATATGGCACTATTCTAACAGTTGTTGCTTTTGGTGCTGTTAAAAAAAAGATTAAAAAAAAAAGATGTGTCGTAAGTTGTAAAGTGTAAATAACATGCCATTTGGCCCATGGCTATGATTTTTTTTTTTTTTAGTGAATAATAAAGTGATGATGATATTTTTTTATAGTTCATTAACTGCCTTTATAACACATTAATAAATAATATCCGTTATCCATTTGATTACTAAATTTAATATCAGTTGTGTGTACTCACTGTGTATTTCCGTAAATATTGTTTTTATAACGTGTGTTGGTAATATAGACATTATCGCTCACATCGCATTGAGACACCATCGCATACCGGAGGAGTGAGTGAAGCAGCAAAGGAAAAACAACGCATGCGAGAGGATAGAAAGTGGGGAGGAGTGTATGCATCATCCAAAGAAGAGAGAAGACACAATGAAAGAAAAAGGAGTAAAGGTAATAAATTAATCTATTTTATAATAATAAATAGATGCCTCTTAATTTCACTGTAAATGTGGAACTGCAACTCATAATTACCGTCAAAATGTGTCATTGCGTGACCCTAAAGACTTATAAATCCTAACCAGGTCAGAAAATATGTAACTCTACTGGATTAGAATATTAATAGAATGTGTTTAGAAGGATGTTTTGCTTAAATTAGTTTTGTTTACAGTCATTTATGGGAAGTGTTTATTTCGAGGAAGATATAAACACCCAGGGCTTTTATTCCAGGGAGATGTTTATTTCAAATGAGGATCTGGAGAAGCGTTTATTCAAAGCGGGGCGTATATTCGAATAAATATGGTAAATAACTTATTTTCAATACATCATACTACATTCATGTGAATTATTTTTTTCTAAAATTATTATCATCATTGAGAGTAAATAAAGTTTGTTGTTCTGTTAATTTTTAATTCTAACATAAAAAATAGACAGGGATTATGAACAAGATAGACACAGAAAGCGTTCAAAGGAGAAGGAACATCACAGAAAGCACTACAATTCACAAAGGTCGGAAAGGTCACAAAGAAGCCAGAGAAGTGATTCAGGTAACTACAGTGGAAGAGATGAACCCGCAACACCAAGGCTTTCAAGAGGTAAATTAAAATATATAAGAACTTTTTAGCCTCCAACTTCACTCATATTTTTTTACACTTGACAGCGAACCATCATAATATTTTAGGCCTAATTATAGTAGAGTGAACTTACAAGATTTACTATTTGTAGCCATAAATTGTAATTATTGCATTATTCAGGTGTAGTGACACCATCAAGAACAAGCTGGGAAGATGATGACGACGTTCCACGAAAACAGTCTGATTGGGATTTTCCAACGCCAGATAGGGAGAGAAACCAGAAAGACAGAGGATACAGTTCTGAACGAAAGAGCCATAGGAGTTTTAGATCAGAAAGAAAAAAGGACAAGAGGTTGTTTTTTATGCAGCGAGACTTTTTTTATTCCTTGTTTCGCATACTTATTTTTTTAAAGATCATTGGAGGAGGGCGGAATAAAAATAAAAATAAAATTTTGTTTTCTTATTTAGCAAATAGTTTTGCCAAAAACATCCAGACGGAGGAGAAAATAAAAATAAAATTTAATTGGTGATGGTTAAATGCTTCAAATTTATAGGAAGAAATATACATATCTTATCTTTGGAGATTTCAAGGCAGCAGAGAGTGTAATGAAAATTTAAAAAAACTTTTATTTTTTTCCCTGAAATTTTCATTTTTCGTGGCGGCGAGTGTGCTAATTGGCCAAAAATAAAATTATAATTTTTACTCGAAATCATCAATATTTGTGTTCGGCGGGTTTGCTAAACAAGGTATAAAACCATATAGTTGTTTATTTATTTTTTTGATTTTTATTCTTGATGACACACTCATTGTAAACCATAGAGCTATTAAACAACTAGAGTGCTGACAAGATGGCGCAGCAATGCAGAGTTATGTATGTGTACCATCC